GCCCCGACCTACACACACCTTCATCTCACCATGTTAACCTGTCCCTACCTACACACACCTACACCTCACGAACACAGCACCACCACCACCGCGTTACCCTGCCCCTACCTACACCTTACGAACCCATCACCACCACGTTACCCTGCCCCTACCTACACACACCTCCACCACCACGTTATGCTGCCCCGACCTACACACACCACCACCTCACGAACACAGCACCACCACCACGTCACCCTGCCCCGACCTACACACACCTCCACCACCACCACGTCACCCTGCCCCGACCTACACACACCTCCACCACCACCACGTCACCCTGCCCCGACCTACACACACCTCCACCACCACCACGTCACCCTGCCCCGACCTACACACACCTCCACCACCACCACGTCACCCTGCCCCGACCTACACACACCACCACCACCACGTCACCCTGCCCCGACCTACACACACCTCCACCACCACCACGTCACCCTGCCCCGACCTACACACACCTCCACCACCACCACGTCACCCTGCCCCGACCTACACACACCTCCACCACCACCACGTCACCCTGCCCCGACCTACACACACCTCCACCACCACCACGTCACCCTGCCCCGACCTACACACACCTCCACCACCACCACGTCACCCTGCCCCGACCTACACACACCTCCACCACCACCACGTCACCCTGCCCCGACCTACACACACCTCCACCACCACCACGTCACCCTGCCCCGACCTACACACACCTCCACCACCACCACGTCACCCTGCCCCGACCTACACACACCTCCACCACCACCACGTCACCCTGCCCCGACCTACACACACCTCCACCACCACCACGTCACCCTGCCCCGACCTACACACACCTCCACCACCACCACGTCACCCTGCCCCGACCTACACACACCTCCACCACCACCACGTCACCCTGTCACCCTGCCCCTACATACACCACCACCACGTCACCCTGCCCCGACCTACACACACCTCCACCTCACGAACATAGCACCACCACCATGAGGAGGGAGGTGGGGGGGCTCCCTCGGTCGTCAGTTGAGGAGGGTGAGGGAAGGAGAGGCATTCGAGCATAAATACTTCACCACGCCACAAAATGGGACCCTTTTTGTTTTGTTGTAGTTGTCACTTATGAAAGCGTGTAAACATTTCACCGCGCCGGTCCGTACGGGTCTGCTGAAGGCGGGGAGCGTTAGGCGCTCCAAGCACGGCAGCATTAGTAGTACAGTACAACAGTCTGTTTTGACATAATAGAGGTTTTTTTGGAGGTTAGATCGCGTAAATGTATAAATGTGTCGTTAAACCCTCCACCACCTGACACGGCCAACTAGTAAGGGTTGTCATGTAAACAGAACGTGGCCAATTCGTCACTCGTACAGCACTAACCGGTGTGTTGGAGAGCCAAGCCACAACATTTACAATCTGAGTACGATGTTTCGCCAGTAATTACAACCAGCTTCATCAGGCGACAGACAGATTTGTGTGCACACTTCCCCCCCCCTCAAACATCCCCTGATAGACAGTGATTATGACAGACAGTGGTTAGTGACAGACACACACAGTGGTAGTGGTAGACAGTGGTTAGTGACAGACACACAGTGGTAGTGATAGGCAATGATTAGTCGTAGACACACACAGTGGTAGTGGTAGACAGTGGTTAGTGACAGACACACAGTGGTTAGTGACAGACACACACAGTGGTAGTGATAGGCAGTGGTAGTGATAGACACAGTGGTTAGTGACAGACACACACAGTGGTAGTGGTAGACAGTGGTAGTGATAGACACAGTGGTTAGTGACAGACACACACAGTGGTAGTGGTAGACAGTGGTAGTGATAGACACAGTGGTAGTGATAGACAGACACACACAGTGATGAGTGATCGAGACGGTGCGAGACGTCGATTAACTCCATGGCGCGTCTTCTCCTGCAGCTCCATGGTGCCCCGAGAACCGACCCCGGTGCACTTTGTGCCGGGCAAGGACGGCTGGGAGTCGTGCTCGCGTACGGGCAGGCGGTGGCGCGTCCAGCGCAACCCGGCAATCCCCGTCTACTATCCGCGCGAGTCGCAGAACGGCCTCTGGGGTGGCGAGGGCTGGCTCTACGGTTTCACCTACGCCAACAACGAGAAGGTCGGCCCTCTGCGAGCCCACGGACCTTACGCCCGCGGCGGCGGAGTTCCGTCTGTTTAGCCACGGTGGCGAGATGTTAACTTCCTCGCCTCGTATGCAGGAAGTCGCGGAGTTGATCGCGACCCCTGACGCCCGCTGTATATTTTGAGTTTAGGTGAACTCTACCCGTAGTCGCGTTGATTTTTTTTTCCGGGTCCCCAGGGTTTTTCCCTCCACATTTAGAAGCACGCGTTTATAGAGTGTTTGGCTGTTTGACATTTATATATATTTACATTTCCACGTGATAAGCCATTTTGTTGAGCTATCATTTGTGGCCAGGTCGCTTCTGAAAAGAGCTATATAGCTCAGTGGGCCTCGCCTGGTAAAATACAAAAAATAAAAATGTAGTTGTAGTTTAATAGTGTTTTTATTCCGTGTGGTACCACCCTAAGTGAGCCATCACACAGCTCAATGTAACCATGTGGAGACGGTAGAAACCAAAGGCAAAAGTGCAACCCTTCAATTGCTTACTCCACTCTGGTTACAAAGGAGACAAGGAAATGTGTGAAGGAAAGTATCTCGAGCGTAGGCAACAAATGTGCGCTGTTGTTACACCAACCAATAGCCACAGTGGAGATCTCATCACACTTTGCAAACAAACAATAAAATGCCTCTCGTCGCACTGAGGCGCGTACGGGGCCTCGCGTGAGAACCCGCAGCACCATCATGATGAACCCCCCCATGGAGCCGGGCTGTGTTGTCCCTTCAGCTCTCGCGGAAGCTGCGCAGGCTGTGGAAACCCCAGCTGTTCAAGCGGGATCTGTACAGCGAGATCCTGGACCACACGTTCAGCGTCACCGTCACCATGAGGACTCTGGACCTAATTGACAATGCCTACGGATTTGACTTTTACATCCTCAAGGTGAATCTTCAGTCCCTCCTCGAACGCCCCACCACGAACCCACCACATTTTTAAATGGAGATTTTAGACCGGACGATACGGGTATAGAAGTGTTCATCGTGTGACCCAGAAGGCGCAGTTTTTCGTTTTCCCTTTTAACCTGGCCACCTCTGATGTAAATACCCACGTGGTATGGATGTGAATTAACTAATACATTGTGTAGGTTGGGTTTTTGATTTGTTATAATACATATTTTGAAAAGGTGCTCTTGAGTTTGCGAGTGAGTAGAGTGAGTGTCATTATTGCCAATGTGACCAGTAATGGGAAATGACATGCAAGCTGGGATTTCATTCCTGAGAAATGGTTCTGAGAGCTCACCCCTGTTGAACTGCCAGTTACTCCTTTCATCAGTCCAGAACTCTCAGTTAAAATGTACTTCGTTTATAGGGCATAAACCTGCATAAGATGTTCCATCAGCAGTTATGCTGTTCAACTCGTAAATTAACTTAAGTTAATTTAACTTACAACTGCATTATTAGTAATATGTATATTTCACTACATCTACATAAAATAATTGATTCATCCCATAAATACCCACAGCACAAGGAATAACAATACCTGCCTAAGGCATATTGACATGTGACAATCTGCTGAATATCAGTGTCCAATTTACCTATAGCAGGCAGCAGTACGCATCATTGCGACTCCAATATAAACAAGGGGACAAAAACATCCTGAACTATTGCCGGATGCGAATCGTGCTTTGCGAGCAGCACTGAATGTTCTGCTGCAATTGTTTACAACAGACCCCAAAGGAGGACCTCAACTCCAAGTTTGGCATGGAGCTGAAGAGGACCTTGCTGCTGCGTCTCGCTCGCAAAGACACGCAGCTCTACCCCGATGATCCTGTCAAGAGGGAGTTTGTCTACAACAAGTACAAGGTAGCTGACCAACAAGGAACTAATAAAGTCACCTCTCGATTATCCACGGTCATGGGGAGGAAGGGGTGGCCAGAAATAAATACAAACAGACAATGCAAAACAGATGTAAACTAGGATATAACGAAAATATATGTATTGTTTATCTTCGTAAAAGACAAAGAATGTGTTGTCTGTATTCGTTGCTTCTGTAAGTAATCCATTTACCTGCCGACATGTATGCACTCACATGGGCAATGAATCACTGACTGTCGATGAATGAGAAGCAGCTAATAATGAAAGCAACGCGCGTGAACATATAATTTCTCCGTAAGCACGGTTTAGCCGCAATACAGAGAATCCACCCATATATAATGAAGGGTGAACTATATTGATACTGCCCTTAATTCAGCAAAGCCTCACTTTATTCCCAAGACTTTTGCAGGGGAGTCTGCATTATGATTTTTGGTTAGATTCAATGAATGGGTGTGTGGCAAAATTGGAGGAAAACGGAACACGGATAGATTCCGCAGGTACAAGGCGTAACACTCAAAAGCTCCACGCAGATGGATTCAAACCACTTTCTGCACTTGCCATCTGCTTGCCGTGTTGCAGCCCGCACCGTTGTGTTCACGCTTGCAAAGTATTGCATGAAGAAGGGCAGTTTCCATAGTATATACTCTTAGGTTTTTTCGGTAAAGTCACGTAGGTAAAAAAATGATAATAAAATAATAATAAATGAAAATAACTCAATTAAATCAATAGTTTGATTCGAGAATTTAATTGAGTTATTTTTAACTATTATTATTTTTACCTACGTGACTTTACCAAAAAAACCTAAAAGTATGAATCCTTGCAGTCACAAAAGCTTCAAATCTAGAATTGACATAGTATATATTTTCTGTGACTTGAGCAGCATCTCTGACTGTTGTGCTTTTTGTACAGGAGTTTGTGATTCCAGAAGCGGAGGCAGAATGGGTTGGCCTTTCTCTGGTGGAGGCTGTTGAAAAGCAAAGACAACTAGAAAAGAAGGTATGACAGTGACTGCTACGGTACAGTTGCAAGGTTGATTTTTATTTTGTGTACCAATCACATAAAGATGTGTAGGCGTGTAACGACGCTTTGATTCATCGATTAAAATCAATGTTTACACTTGCGATACATTGAAAACTGTGTACGAGATAATGTTTAGCAAATGATATACTGTTACAAAAAGGGGGAAAAAAATAGAATCCTATTTGAGATGACAATCGCACGAATTTCACCGATTCTCGAATCAAACTATTCCTCGTGAAAATGAATCATTCCACTCGATGGTGAATGGTTGCATGCCTACTATTGAACAGGGAAAGTGGTTTAAGTGGTGCGTTAGAAACGATGAGGTGTTGACACCGAGGCGTCTTCTTGCAGGACGTTGAGCCGCTGTTTAAAGTCTACGTGAGAGAGCTGGTGGAGAAAGTGACCGCTATGCAACTGCAGGAGCCCGCCGTGGTCGTCAAGAACGAGCGGCGCAGTTAACTTGCAGCTGCTGACTTGGAGCGTTGTTTCTCAAACCCCAGTCCTCGCTGGCCCGCAGGATGCATCTTTATTTTTTGCTTAACAACTGTTGTGAGCATGCGTTAGCGTGCGTGAGCGTGCAACGTGCCGTGGGTTATTTTTTGCACATGAAGTTGGAAGATTGGTAGATGTGGAATGGTGTGCCGTGGGTGTCTCACGGGGGCTGGAGTTGGAGAAACGCTGAGTGAGAGGGCTAAAATGTTTCACCGGTGATCCTAAATCCAACTCAGGCCACCCACGTGCAGTATGATGCTGTGTCATGTACCCATTTTCATTCCATACAGTTTATTGACCAATAAGCTGAACATTAGAACTTGGTCAACTTGAGATCTGGGGTTTTTGAGATCTGGATTAAAAACCACTGCTGAAATAATCTATCAAGTGAGCTTTGGGCAGTAGAATGGCCAACATGGAATGTCTCGGTAATTTACCAGTGTTGTTAACAGAGATGTCAACACGTTTTCACGAAAACACAAACAAGAAACATAAAACAAGAATTACACCACTTGTGTTTGTTTATCCATCGTCATAACGATTGTTGAACAAACATGCACTCTGCCAAACACATTTTTTTTATTAAAACATATATTTAAGTTAACCTTTGTCACACAAAAACGTACATTTGTGCAGGCTCTCAATTAAAATGCGTCTTACACTTGAGAACTTGTGTTTTGTGTTATGTTCCCGTCTTAAAAATATTTCTATTGTGACAATTGTATAACAGTGGTGTTCTTTTTTTAATGTTAAATGTAATTCGCATGCATGGCTTGCATTTAAAGGGCTCTCTGGACCATTCTGTGAGGGTGGATCAGCTTGACTTAGTCAACCTGAGGATTGTTCTTGAATATATACTCTGCCTGCAACAGACACACCACACCAATGCAAATGCACTGATTAAACAATAGGTTCCACAATTTCTCGCAATACAGTACTGCATCTTAGGAAACTAAGTTTAAAAGCTATTTTATAATTGAGACCTGCAGAGTATCTGCCCAGTGTACAGTGAAGTTGTAGAATAGTTTTTTTTTTATGAATACCAATGTCAAATTGTGGTTATTAAAGCAAATGAATGCCTGTTACCCAGAAAAGCCTCAAGATAGTTTTTTTAGGATGTTAGACCAATGTGTGTTATGAATACTGGAGGAAACTGGAGTAAGCTGATAAAAAAAAACACAAGGTGCTAACACTCAAAGTTCCAAATGGATTTAAAAATCCATTCCCAGCCACCTCATAGCCAATTCCCAGACTGTCATCAAAGTGCGGACTTAGTTCAATCTGGCTGAGCGTCCAGATCTGAGGAGACATTTAGGGTGATTTGGTCAAGGGCAATATGATTTCTTACGAGTAAATTACGCGGATGTGAAACTTGGGTTCGACGTGCTTGGAAACTTAAGCCATTCCCAATGGCACTGAAGTAGCATGTGGACATGTGCAGCCTGTTTGAAGAAAACATTATTTTGCTGCACCGCCCACAATGCCTATACCACCTGTTTCGTGTGTACGGTGGTCACCCATCCAAGCATCCAAGCTCAAACCCTGCTTAGCTTCCAAAACCTTTACGGGATTTTGGCGCATTCAGTGTGATGTGGATGGAAATGAGTTATCTGAAGTGGAAACTCGGGTGTGCATGCTAGTAAAACAAGCCAATCCAAAGGGCACCAGCACTGACCAGGAAATCGACGGGGTCTGGGGGTCGCATGGAGCAGCACTCGATGAGCCCCGTGGTGAGCGTGGGCATCACGTGTGCGAGCAGATACTCGCGCAGGGGGACCGTCTCGCGGGCCAGGAGCTCCTGCTCCTGCTGCCTCTCTGCCTCCAGCTTGGCTTGCTGCAACGCACACGGGGTCATCGATCCCTTAAAGCGCTGCACATGTGGTGAACGGTGACGGTGCAGCGCTGAAGTCTCCTGCTCGCTTAACTGTCGGTGGAAGGAGCTCCACGAGAGGGAGCTTTAGAGAGCCCCTCTACAAGGGATATTGCCCTGCTCTTCCACGTTGACCAGACGTCTTGGAAGTGGTAGGAGTGTCCACACTTTACACGCGACCTGCCGATTAACTGCCGTACCCATTCCTACTATTCGGTGAACAGGGTTTCTAAGCAACTTGTCAATCGTTTTAACTGAGAACAAACCGGTGACGCCTGGATTGCAAGTCCAGTGTGTTAGCCATTACACCACGGCAGCGTCCCATGTGGTGAACGAATCTTGTATATGTATACTCTTTGGTTCTTTCAGTAAAGTCACGTAGGTATATAGCCTCTTGTCACGGCAGCCCTTTTGCCCACTTCAGCAATTGTTTCTTGCTGTGGTTGTCCCACCTGGTGACGGACGCTTGTGTTGTGCCCAAAACGTCGTGATTTAATTTATTTTATTTTATACCTACGTGACTTTACCGAAAACTTCAAATTTATATATGTATGTTGAACGCAACTGCACTTAATAGGGCAGCTCTAAACGGAGGGGGTCCATGTTCATAACCTTAATGTAAAGCTCAGTAAGCAGGGGACTTGAAGAGCATACCTTTGATGATCAGGTGTTAACTGAGTAACTGTTGAGGAATATGGGTGATCGGCCGTGATGACCTACATAACTCGAAGTCAAGTACCTCTCCAGCCTCCAAATTGGGGGGCACATGGTGCTTAGGGGTGTGTACTGCTGCTAATTAAGGGGGATGTATGCCCCCCCCCCCCCAAGGACGCCTGTGGTATCACCACTGCTTGGCTTCAACATTTGGCCAAGTTCATCTTGTGTCGGTATATTGTGTCAGTGAAGCCCGCTCACCCTTTCTTCTCCGAGTGCTTCGACAGTGGTTGTACTCAAGGTTTCAACAGACAGTCTTGACAAGAGGTACCTGGCACAAACCCCGAGTGGAGGTTTGGTCCCAAAGCCTCTTGCCTCCTGAATGTTCTGCATTCAGCCTTGGTACCAAACCTCCATTTGCGGTTTGTCCCAGAAAGATCTTGTGAACATTGTCCGTTGAAACCTGCTGCGAATACAACCAAGCTTGGCGGAAGTGGCATACACAAGCACATTACACTTAAACATGATGGCCGTGTCAAACCCCAACTGCCACATAAAGTTGTTTTCAGAGACCTTTTCAAGATGTGAACTTTGCAATAAAATGTAATATACAAATCCAAAAATAATAAACCCTAAAGTATTTGCAGGGGGATCATACAAAACAAATCATAAATGCAGATCGTTTATTACATGAGGTTGACCACAAACTCCGGTCATCCTCGCAGCGGCGTTTTTAACCATCGAACAAAGACGGTTACTGCATCGCGCGCTTTCAGATGCGCTTCTGCGGCCGTTTAGAAAGCTCTTCCGATATTAGGAAACCACTGGAGCTGTGCACTTTTAAATCATCTAAATTTAAAACCAATTTCTTTAGAACTGCTTTTTGTGTTTGAGTTTGTTGTCCTTCCCCCGCACCTCCGATTAGCACGGTTGCCAATGCACGGTGCGAAAATAAATTCAATGGACCCGTGTAAGCACGGGTCCGTTGTTAACAGTGGAGGCTGGTCCACTACGCAGCAGCCGACGCGAGCGAGGTGCTACTTGGAGGGAGAGTACCGACCCACTCGTTGAGCTTGCGTTCCCTCTCGGCCGCCTCCACCGCCTCGTGTCTCTCCCACTCGGCCCACTTCTCGGCCTCCTGCCTCATCCTCTCCTCCGCCGCACGCCGGAAGATTTCTTCCCTCTCCTCGGCCGTCAGGCCGTAGTTGCGCAGCTCGCCCATCCGTTTGAGCAGCTGGTGTGCCAGCAGCAGGAATTCAGCATCTTCCTTGGTTACATCTGCAAAGTAAGGATAATATTAAACAATGTGTGTCGAATTCACTGGCTACGCATCAGCCTCAGTAACACCTGTGCAGTGATAAGCCATGCGCTGTACCATGAGTCCCACGCACTACAGGGAGAAGCACCACAGAATGAAACCTCTGAATCCAGACTCGAGTAAACCATAATTCAGAATAAGCCAAAATAAAAAATTAACATTTTTTAAAATATCTTCGACTGGTATAAAAATGTAGTGAGATGGCAGAAGACAGATGCAGACAATATAGAGACGCGAGTGATCAAGTCTTTTGTAACGTTAATGAGCGTGATAAATGTGCCTACATTTGATGCAGCCATATTATCTATGATGACCCTAATAGTTCGCTTGGCTGGTGCAATTGAACCGCCTGCCACCGCGTATCGATGCGACGGCAACAACGCAGCGGGCCCACCGTAGTGCGCGACGGCGACGCTCTGCTCCTCAAAGTAGTTGAGCATGGTCTCGTCGACGGTGTTGTGCGCGCGGAAAGCGGCCAGCCGCCGCAGAGTGGACTCCTCGGTGTAGTGAGTGCCGGACACCACGGCCTCGGGCAGGTTCATCACGCGGTCACGCAGGAAATCGTCCGGGGCCTCCAGGGAAACCACCAAGTCTGCACCGCCCCCACAGCCGTGGCAAAAACCCGGATCTCAGCACAACGACGGTCTAATTAGGACAGTCCTGAAGATTCACCGTCACATTCTCAGAGGTTCCGAAAGCACGGAAGGTTGACGAGAAAGAGGCCAGGAGACAGAGAGAGGAAATTTCTGCTGGGCGATTTGAAGGGCGGTGTACGAGGTAGGAGGAATGTCTATTTTGCTTGCTCGGGTCAGCGAGTTTCACTCACCATGCAGCCATTACACAACAATGAAGAAAAATCATGCACATGCATGGTTCTGTAACGCTTTCTGAAGTGTGTTTGTCATCAGAAGTATAATATTCAACTAGCCGCGTGCAATGACGTCACACACAATGACGCCACACACAACGACGTCACGAGAGGAGAAGCGCCCGCATGGTGTGTGACATCCTCGTGCTTGACCAAGTCGGCGGTGGACTTTTTTCCGCCTCGTCCTTCACAGCTACAAAACTTAACACGACGAATAAAACGTGTTGGATCATCATAGGATTTAAGATGACCCCATGTTTAGCAGACACACGGACAGACACAGGGATGGAGCGAATGCATGTCTGCATTCAACCTTAGTTGAAAAGAGTTGCAATAGTTCTGGCCTTTGAAAAAACAAGTGCATGCGGAGGGTGCTAGGAATTTGACGGAAGGATAGGGTAAGCAAACTTTAAAGCTCTTAAGGGAACCTGGCGAGGAAGTGTTGTGCATGTAATTAAGAAAAAAGCGATTGCAATGAGTGGGACACGCCAATATAAAAATGATGGAGGGTTGATGATCAGGACAAGCATTGCGGTGGCAAGCTGGACGGTGAGGAAACTGTAAGAGTGGCCCTTGATGGTCAGATGTCAACTATAGAAGAATGTTGGCATCCAGAGATTGTCCATGATGACTTCTTGAGCTTGATCCCAAGTACAATACAGCCAAACAAAAATATACTCAAACTGAAATGATCAGAACCAAACTGTCAATGCAATATTCATGGTAATGTTTTAAACGTCTATTCGATTTTAGGTGCTGAAGTACTTTTGTCCTGAGCTTCAATAAACGTGGTTCACAATCAGGGGGCTGATATTAAGAGAAGTGATGCCCCCTCCTCCCCTTCCTCTTCCCCCTCTTATTATCTGAAATGTGCCAATACACAGAACCTATCAGGGGGAGTATTATGCCTTGGATGGCATTGTATGTGCTCTGTATGTAAACATTTACGTAAAAATGAACGTCAAAAAAATTGTGCCGAATTTTTTTTAAAATATGAGTTCATGAAATTTCCATAGATAATCATAATAGGGATTTGCCACTTGGCAGTGTACATTGTCATGAGAGCAGCATGCACGGCGAGTTGATTCAATTTGGCGCTATCTGTCCATCGCATGTGGTGTCGAAATAGCACACGTTGCAACACCTGGTATGATGCTCTTGTCGTAGTGATTTTCTTTGCCCGATATTGCGTCTTCCTCCTCCTCAGCATCGTCTTCCCCTGTTGCAAGCAGAAGAAGGGAAAACTCTTGGTGAATTTACTTAACGGCGTACAATAATTCCCCAAACATTATGCGCATGAAGCATAAAGTTTCCTCTGTTGTGCCACACGCTTGGCAGGTCCGCATTTTGGGAGTGAAATCTCGATGGGGTTGAGAACGCTTGATTCAATGCCCAACTTTAAAGCACGAGATGTGTGTATTCAAGATGTTTTGGAGTCAAACCTGATGTGGTATCAGCATTTACAATTTGGTCACAGCAACCTGGTTTTTTTACTATTTATATTTTTGTTTCTTACCAACGAAAGGTTTATATTTTTTCGTTTGGTCAATTCCACAGGGATGTTTGATCAATTGAATTTCAGTGTTTTGCTTTGGGTGGGGAACAAGAGAACGTGGAGGAAGCCCATGCATCGGAGGGGGTAACACTCAAACCTCTACACAGACAGAATCAAGAATTCATCACCATACTGTCACATGTTGGCCACCTTGACGACCAAGCCTATAGTGCTGCGTATCACCAGGCAGTCTCCCATCCAAGTATGTAGCAGGCTCAAGCCTGCTTTGCTTCTGAGATTCGAAGAGGTCTGGTACACTCAGAGTGATTTGGTTGTACGCTACGTTTATACATGTTTCATTTGTATTTTATTTTCTTTCAGTTCATCTCAATTTGCCATTCGGTGTCTTGGAGGTTGCACGCCAATGCCTATTCCGTCAACTGCACATAACCACGATGACGGCGACAATGAATTTCCATCATAATGAAAGCAGTAAACGCGTGAGACAGATGCCTCCCACGGAGTTTCTTGCCTTAACAAACTACTTTAACTGAATGGCCCCATCTCGTTAGTAACAATAATATATAATTTATTTTTATATTGCGCCTTTCATTGAAAGATCGCACAGCGCTATACACTTGACATTTTCAACACTCCATGAAAAAAAATCTAAATCAAAAGAGCTATGCAAGACAATATCGTGAGGGTAAACACATAAAGTCAAATATACATTGGGAAAAACAAACATCAATGCGAAGGCGAAAAAAAATGGGAGAGCAGGTGGAAGGGGCAGCAGACTGCCAGCGCCCTGCACCAACACAACCTTTTCGATGTTCTGATATTCAAACGCCGTACCAGTGAACAGCTCCTTGGCCTGGGCGTAGGTTTTGGGAAAACCGTCCAAAATGAACCCTTGGTTCTGGCACGACATGGAGCGCAGCTTCTCCTTGAAGAACCTCACCAGGTACGTGTCCTCAAGCCGACCTATTGGGATCAAACACATTAGGGGCCGTCCATAAATTACGTCATGCACCTAGGGGAGGGGGGGGGGGGGTCAGACATTTGTGACGATGTGTGACGAGGGGGGGTTGAGAAATGTGACGTCACATCAAAATGCGCAACTTTAAATAAATATAGACAACACGTTCTACTTCATTAAATATACTTTTAATAAATGTTTTCTCCTACATCAGAGTGCAGCGCCACATTAAATACGCACTACAATGACAAGTGTTTAAAGCGATTTGAAGCACGTTTTATTTTCAAAATGAGAAATCCCACCACACATTTAAGGAGATACGACTCAAAGCTCTGCACAGATTAATTAAATCCACTTGCTGTACTGACATCTCCTGGCCACCTCGTAGCCCAAGTGGGTTTGGGAGGTTTATAAATGTGTGTGATCAACCCACCCTGGACGAAAGAATTTCCCGATTGAACAAGCTTGTCGCCTGTTTAGAGTCCTGAGTCAGGGGTAAATAAATTCCACATTCGCCTGGCAGATATGCGAAGAGCAACCATTACTGACACCCGACAAAGCAATCCTGATTTTATTGACTGAGGAAGGAGGTTCGAGCCAACCCTCAACTGCTCATCTGGTAAATTCTGCAGAACAGGAATTGCAGCACGGGAAAAAAAGAATCTGACACTGACAGAATTTAATGTAAGCATCATTCGGGCTTTTACACGGGAAGTCGATGAATTACATAAAAAGCCCATTCCAGTGCTGTGGTGATGTTAACATTACGTTTTTATATTTCCATTACCATGGTATCATGTTTTGCATATATGTGAATGTATAATATGAGAACTACAAACATGTGTATTTAGTTTATGATTGTCTGTAACAGGATCCATCTTTGAATGCTCCACAAACCCTGTATGACATTTATTATTTTTTACCATTGTTTTGTTCCAAGCTTTCTTTCACAGCTTCCAGCAGCTCCTGTGCATCCTGAGCTGATTCCCCCTCTTCCTCTGCTTCTCCTCCTCCTTCCTCTTCCTCCTCCGTCTCTCTGTGTTCCTCCTCTTCGCCCTCCTTCTGTGCCCGAGCTGCTATCCTCTCCTGGAAGCAGAGTGAAGTATCCCTGCATGTCAACTTAACCAATTGTATTTAACCAGGAAAGGTCCACTAAGCTATATAGCTCTTCTTCAAAAGCGACCTGGCCTCAAATCATAGCTCAATGAAGTGGCTTATCGCGTGCAAATTTACAGCAGCCAAATACTCTAAACGCATCTTTCTAAATGTTGGGGGGGGGGGGGGGGAGCCAGAGGACCCAGAGAAAAATCCATGCAACCCACGGGGAGAACATGCAAACTCCAAATATACAGGTGTCAGGAGTCAGGATCGAACCCACGACCTCCTGTATACCAGGCGAGGTAGTTAACATCTCATAGCCACCGTGATGATGATGATGAGAGAGAGAGACACGCAAACTCCAAATATACAGCAGCAGGCGTCAGGGTCGGGATCGAACCTACAACCTCCTGTATACCAGGCGAGGTATTTAACATCTCCTAACCACCGTGATGATGATGATGAGAGAGAGAGAGACACGCAAACTCCAAATATACAGCAGCAGGCATCAGGGTCGGGATGGAACCCACGACCTCCTGTATACCAGGCGAGGTAGTTAACTTCTCGCCACCGTGGCGCCCCGTGTTGCAGCCTCACTGACACATTCTACCCACTGAGACATTCACTATAGCCTCATTTCCACGAGCCAAAGAGCTCGAGAATAAACGCGAATTGCTCTCCTACGAGTTGGCGGCGAATTCGAGCTCGAGGCAGAGATATCTGGGTCAATTTCGCTTCGCAGGCTGACATGAAATTCCTATATCAGATCCAGGCCAAGCGGAAATACATCACCAAACACGTAACATTCAAAAACATTGTGGGACAACATGAACATTTGATTTTACATTTAATTCAACGTTTAACTCTGCCAGCAACGTGGTCTTGACCTTTAATTCATAAGCATTTCTGAGAAAATCTTACTTGGAAGTATTTCTGGGAAAGGCCTGTCAAACTCGTGTGATAAATTGAGTAGCTTGGAGAATAATGGAAAACGCCACACTTTTAACCGACAGTTGTCCTTCAACTCGAGTTCTGGCCAAATCGAGTGCCCTCAAATCGACTCGAGTTGGCTGTTTGTGGAAACTAGGCATTAGAAGCACATGAATCGCTCCTGACAATAATGTAGCAGAATTATTCAACATGCCTAATGCCACCATTGAGACCCGGGAGGTCAAAAACAGTCCAGAGTTTACCTGCTTGAACAATTCTTGCTCCACATTTTTTTTACAGAAAATCATTGGACTGAAAATGTATATGTATTATTTCTAAATGTTACCCATTATCCTCCAAGACTGTAAAACATTTTTTTCATACACAAGGGTCCCTTGAACTGAGATGTATTATTTAAAATAACATTTTAGTCCATCAGCCTCTGGGCTTTATGGAGCAATGTTTTCCAGCAGCATTTGTTTATGCAGAAAACCCTGGAGTGAGGCCTGTTGTACAAATGCTGCTGTGTTGCCTTGGTGTTTTACAGACAAGAGTGCCCTTCACCACCAACGTGGGACCCATTGCAAGATCACATACATGTACAGCCCGATTTGTGAATCCACTGCTAGATGAGGGCCTCCCCACGCTCTACTTGACCATGCTGCCTGTCAGATTTATAAATGGGTCAGCTTGCTGGGCATCTCACATAAGCAATGCAATCTACTGGCCCACGCCAGTAGATGGGACTCTAGCGAGCCCCTCTCGAGGGTACTTTGGCCTACTCCCCTACACAGGCTAGAACTTGGAAGAGGTGGCAGTACAGTACCTTACTTACCCTATCACGTGTGACTTGCTGATCGACTTACTGTGGTGTGTCCATCTTTTCCCGCTGGGTAGACAAGAGAAAAACCTGCCCATTGCTTCAAGTGCCACGTTAGGAGACCAAAGCGGCAGCCTCTGGATTGTCAGTGTGCCCACCGAGCCGAGCGTGTTAATCGGCACATCACGGCAGCGTCGTGCTTCGCAGGTAAAGCCACGCAAATCACAAATTCAACAGGCAGCTCTCCACCACGCTGCTCACCAGCCTCTCGATGGCCCCATCTACGACGTCCTTGGCCTTGATGTGGTGCAGCCTGTAGTGCTTGCAGAGTTTCTCCACCAGGGAGGTCTTCCCCACGGCAGGCGGGCCAAGCACGCAGGCACGCATGGGCTGTGAGCGCAAACAACACCCGCGAGGGATGCGCACGCGCTGGGGATGTTTTGACGGGGGGTGCAACTCGGAGCCTGGCTATCTCATTATTCAAGTAATTGATTACTGTAGCAATTATTCGTATGACCATTTACAAATGGATAGCAACACAATAATTCCCAAAATAGTAAATAGATTATTACTCGCATTATTTAAGGCAATTATAACAAACTTAAACATCGATTTTTATAAATGAAACTGATTTGATTCATGCATATGATATTCACATTTCCCCGGACGCTCGAGATTAACCACAGATCGAGTTGCTCCAAATGGGTTAGGCAACAAGTACTCTTGCTCATTATTTTACATTGTGCTTGCAAAGATGGTTAAACATCATCCAAATTGCCAAAAATGCTTGAAAGAATCAGTTAAAACTGTAATTCGACTTTCGAGAAAAATTCAACGCTTCAGTGGGATTCTTTCAAGCGCACGAAACGAGTGCGGAGCGTTCGCACGAGCGCGCTCGAGGGGAGCAAAAGGTTCTCACCAGCAGACCTCGTGTCTCCTTGTACTCCCTGACGATGGTGGCGATGTTCTCCACCAGGCCACCCTCAGCAACCCAGTGGATGTTCATGCCCCCGCGCAAGAACTGCGCATCGAATCGCAGATTCACGAGCAGGTGGTCGTAATCCGATTGCTGCCACGACACAAGGGGGAGTCGCTCAGTCTTCCACGCTTGGGAGGCGCGTTCAAGTAGACCACTCACTCGTTTATGCAATGTAGTTGGAAACCCGCTGAGATTCACAGACCCCTGCTACCCCAACACGCAGACCTCTTCATGATTTTTTTTTAAAGAGGGGCACGTAACATTCCACGATATTGCAAATGATAGATCGGATAACCAGCACTGCAGCTGTTAAGCCAAATTATAGTTTTAAAACTATTGTTTCTCTCTCGTAATCTTTACATTGTTTACATTAGCTTTTAAATTACTCCTAAAACATTGAAATTATTGCAGAGGTCTAGGAAGAGTTATTTCTCTGAACACACACATGTATACAGATCAACTGCTTACTATATACAGCTGTGTTATACCAAGAGCGGTATGCAAGACAGAGATGACATTACCACGAGGTCTCTTGACAGGAGTGCTTCTTCCTTGGGCACTTTTATGGTTTTACCAGGTCCCAAGTGTTTGCTGATGGCCTGTAAAATGCAAAGTTCATGACAAATTTTAGTTACGGGAATTTCAACTTGGATTCGAGTGAAGGTAAATTATTATATCAACAGTTCTTTCACGTAAAGATGTCAAATATTATACTCGTAAAATATGCAGTTTCACGATTTGAGAGTGCATGTGACCCTTAGGTTATTATCAACCCCTACATGTATGATTATGGATGAACATGCATGCGCTCACGTGAATTCTATACCGCTTTTTCAACACGCGTTTAGAAGCGCTTAATTATCAATGATAACGTTACTTTTTGAGCCGCACAATTGGATGACATCACACGTAATGATGTCATGGGAGAGGCAAGGCGCATGGCCTGTAATGTCATCACCTAATTTTTTGCAGTTTTTTTTTTAATCACCGTATTTTGGGCAACTCTTTGATAAATTTTGCCAGTTTCATTATAGGTTATGTCCCTAATAGCAACACAACTTTTACAAATTATTTAATATTTTGGATTATCTTAACGAGAGTAATCGTGATACTCCTTTCTCCACCTCTTTTAACTTCAATTATAAAGCATTAAAAATGATACCCGAGCACGTTAACAAGCCAATAACACAACAAGACAGCATTTTGATTTAAAGCTTTCGTGACTGCAGGGATTCATATTCTTGGTTCTTTCGGTAAAATCATGTAGAAAGGAAATAATACAATTAAACAAACATAAAAAATATTTCTATTATTTTATTATTTTCCTTCTACGTGACTTTACCGAAAAAAACAAGAATAAGACAGCATTTATTATACACAAAATAGGGCAAAGGCATTCACAGAAGTCAATTAAACAACTTTTTTTTATTAATCCTGCGCTGACGAGATGACACTACGCGGTAACAGCCCCGTTGCTGCCACCTCCAGAAATTCGGTGAGATTTCGAGTGCGAGACTTTTTAACAAAACACACACCACGTGACACATCACACGCTGAACCTTCCATAAATCCCGATGAGGGTTGTTCGCCGAATCCGCGAACACAGCGGTGCTGGGCGAACGAAGTTCTGGAACTGACTGACCGCTGGAAGAATGCGGCTGCCAATCCCACGGGTGCTGTACTGTCATGCATGAGTTCATAAACTACAGTCCATGAAATCCAATTCAATATTTAACTCAGCAAGACGTGGAAACAACTCGTTAAGACAAACACACGAACGTGGTCTAGTTCGCAAGAGTGACACTGGTTACATAATAAGAATAAGGAATGCAAGATTAATGAAACTAAACTAATAGCATAATCAAATTAAAAGGTAAGAGAACATGGATTAAATACCCTATGTTTTACTAAAATACAACCCTTAATGTCAAGCAAATACCTTGACGATCTCCTCCAGTGTGTGCTTTGAGCTGTCTGTAGCAAGCAAGTAGTGGACCTTTGGTTTTCTGTCCAATATATTCTGCACCACACTGTTTGAAAGAGACAGACATATTGAAATGTTATGAGCAATTCACCATGAATGCGTAAGCATATGCTCTTCATGCACAGCCCATTTGTCAATCCACTGCTGGATGAATGCTTCCCCACTGCTGTGCGCGTGACGTGGGTTTTCTGACCATGCTTCACCGTGCTGGTCAGGGCAGGTTGATGAAGGCGAGGAGCATAGATGCCGGAACATAGTACAGTACAACAATAGATTTTGCTGCACTGCCCTCTGCTGATGATGCAGCTGTGCGAAAGCCTTACAGCAGCTGTTTTATGCCCAGTAGTTGCGGATCCAGATACTGTACTATCCAGGCTCAACCATACTTAGCCTGAGAGATATAAAAAAATACTTTTATCGGTGCATTCCTGGTGAACTGGTGTATTTGACAATATAGTTGGAGCTCAGTCTAACAAAAGTGGACTAGTATTACCAGGCATTATGGTGGCATTGCAAAACAATTGAATGTTTGCCTTTGTCTGTTGAGCGCTTATTTATTTTCATCTAATTTGTACAGTTTTGTTCACTTCATTTGCGTGAATTATAATGAATGGCTTCCCACACGCACAATTCAATGCATGCATCACTAGCGCAATCATTAATATGGATCGATGATTTGATAGGTAAATAATTGGCCCGCAATTTAGCATGAAAGGAAAAGATGCAGCTCTGCAATTGCTTGCTCACGCTACTGCTGGTGGAAGGGCTTCCACGAGAGGAAGTCCTAGACAGCCACTCGCGAGGGTTTGTTGGCCTGCTCGACTGGACATCTGTGACTCTGTGACTACTGGACATCTGTAAAAAATAGCTTTGTAGCTCGTCAGATTCCTGCAGGATAAATCAATATTCGGACTCTTCCACAGTAGGTATCTTGGAAAAGGTTGGAGTACCCACACTTCATCCCACCACATGCAACCTGCCCATTTACACTGCTACGTGGATACAGGCAGGGAGGTTTAAGAAGACTGCAACATTGTTTGACCTGCCGCGCCAGGAGATCAAACCAACGGCCTCTGGATTGCAAGTCCAGCGCGATAACCATTTCACCATGGCAGCATCTCTTACCCAGCTACGTCTTTAACGTGGATAGTTGGGACAATGTTGCTTCCGGGTCCGTATATCGGCAGGGCAGACAATTCTCCAAGCCACGCTGTCTGCAACCAACAACAACTCTGCGCTGTTAAGGCTCACTTTGCAAACGAGTCGCATGACACAACCGTGGCAGTCTATGTTATCTTGTGTTATCAGCAAAACAAAGTTACCTTGAAGAAGTGATGAAAAACACTCTCTCCCATTCCATACACGAGACCAGATGCCAGCACAAAGGTGGAGAACGTGGTTTTATTCTGGAAAGCAAGCAGAATCACACGCTGAAGTGGTAAATATATTGTTTGTGAATCTGTTGTTTTGTTTCACACCATGTATTAAAGACTGTACTCGTGTTATGCAGCACTAACCGTTTTTCCCAGCTTGATGACAAGTCTTTCTACATCTATCTCCTGTGTAAAGTTGGGATGGGGCTTCCTCCTCCGGTAATCTTCCTCCGTGAAGTCCAGCTCTGGATCATCCTGGGACCAACACGATAACACTGTAGTGCACGTGCCAAATATAAAACTCCTCATTAAGTCGCGGAGAGTGTGTGTACAAGTGTTGCCCATTTGCTTTCGCCCTGAATACACGCGATTTGTTCATATCGCAGAAACTACGCGAGATTTATCCAATGGATTGAGTCTCTATCTTTCTGGCGCTTTGTGCTTTATTCCCTCGTGTGAATTGAAAACTCATTCTCGATTGATTGAAAACGAATTTCTTTCGAACTGCTCTTTGTGTTTGTTTTATTTCCCCCTGCACCTCCGATCAGTACGATTGGCTATGTACGGTGCAAAAGAAGTTCAACATATGAATGGGTTTTTTCCAGGTACCCTGGTGTTCTACAAAATGGCAAACATTACCCCAATTCAAAACTCTTCTGAAAGAGACTGAGACTTTCCTGAGTAAATAAACGACAATCAGTATTTTGCACTCACAGGGTCCAGAGGCCTGGTACGTGCCCATGTCATTATCGTAGACAACAGAACAAACATCTTGGGATTTTCAAAGCTTTTCAACTTCTCATGAAATTCTGTGAAACAACATTTTGAAAAAAAACGTTAACCCAAACTCAAAAGCCAATGTTTTTTTCCACATATTTTCAGCGATAACATCTGCTTATGGCCCAGCGGTAAATCCAATTGTGGCAGTTCTGACCGGTGACTGCCCAGGAGGCTTCCTCTGTCTGATCGGCATCCTCCGTGATGTTGTAAACAATGATGTCACACTCCATCAGATGGCAAAGCAGGTCTTCGCGTGACGAAGGCTGTGAAAAGTATAAGCGGAAAACTCAAATGAACAGAATAAATAAATAAAAACACTTCGATCTGTCTATCCAAAGAATAAATCACGTGCATAAAAGGGGTAATAATTGTTATTCTTATACACGGACTAGGCCTATTGTTTTCTGACTTTTTACTAACCTTGTGATGTGTCATCCTTCACCTACAATTTAGATGTCTGCTTTCCAGCAGTATATTTTGACATTCATGTTATTTTGCTACAAAATAATCCAATGTCAGTAAACATATGAGAGTTTGTTACATTGCCAAAGTATCATAAATCTTCAGTCCATCAGCCAATAAGGCTTTCGAACCAATGTTATCGAGCAACATTTGGTTTAAGCAGGCAAACCTCTGGGATTGGTTTGACTTTCTGGGTCTCATCAGTAGAGCCAGGTTTGCTACACAAATTCTGCTGGGTTACTAAACGTTATTGGAAAGAGCACTTCCCCTACAGAATGGATGTATTTGATCACTTGTGACCAAGGTGGTAAATTGTGCATTCGGCTGGAGATTCCAAAGAACACAGGATGAGATGTTACTATCCTTTGTGCAAGCACTTCCAAGAGTTCATGAACAGTGAGCCTGGTGAAATTTGGGGAACGCATCGTCAGTAGTGAACCTTGACTGCTGCGAATACCTTCACGATTTGCTGCACAAAATCAGGCTCCGGGCTTTCAGGTTGTCCAAGGGTGCCCACAACCTGGTAAGTCATCTTTACACGAGCTGCCTTTGATGGGCCCTGTCCAGATCCTTCCCCATCCATCTCATCATGCGCCTCCTCTTCTTCGTCCTCTTCCATCCCTTCCATGCTTTCCAAGGATGCTCCGACCACACAGCCCGACAAATGCTATGAGCAAAAATGGACAATGATTGCCAATGTTTTGGTCATGCACACACACACACCTTTTCTCGCACAATCCACACACAATGGAGCATCTGGTCAAAAATAAATGAATTATTCATATTCCCACTTGATGCAACGCTTAACAAGAAACAAAATACCTCCTACGAGGGATGTTTTGGGCAACATGCCCGGCTAATATATAGAATCCCATAGGCCCATTCTAATCCACTGCCAAGCATTAAGTATTATCCACGGTATGCGTCCCAGCTTTTAATATAATTATCCTATACACATGTGCCAGCCTTCACTCTATCACCTCTCTCTGTTACCTGTGTTGCTCTCTCTATGTATCTTGGTGATATCTGTCTGCTAATATGTCTGTCTATAGTTTTCTGGTTAGATTTTATGTCGCTATTTCATTATACCTGATGATGATTGCTTGTGTTGCAATCGAAACGTCGTATTCTATTATTTAATTTAATTTATTATTTTATCTTTAGACGTGACTTAACCGAAAGAAACAAATAATAATTCCTGCAGTCACGAAAGTTCTAAAATTAAGATTTTCACTCTATCTCGCAGTCCTCCCTTGGTTTGCATCATCTCACAGGACATCTTCTAGATTTGGTCTCTTTTACAAGATATGAATAAAACCTGTTTTCCACTATTTCGGTTTTCGCAAAGTAACACTGAGGGCTTGTAATTTGTCAAAATTTCTTGAAAGTGCTCCGTTACATCTTTTTTGAAAAATATCTTTAGAGACAGGTCACAATATTTCTTGCCTGGCCTCTCACTCTGCCCCAACCTCTCAAATTACTCCACTACTCAATGTCCATAATTATCGCTTATGCGCAAATCACCCCACATGTGCCTGACCTCCATTGGCATTGGCTTATTTCACGAGCACATAAACCTAAGTTTCACATTCGTATATTCCACCAGTGATATCTTGTTACCTGCGTCCAAATTATGCTGAATGTGTCCGACCTCATTAGATCTCAGAAGCTGCTAAGCAGCATTGACCCTGGATACTGCTTGGATGGGAGATTGCCTGGGAGTATGAGATTGACTATATATGGTGTGAAAGAAGTTCAAAATACATACATATAGGAGATGGCAGAACAGTAAGAAATTCTTAAAGACATATTTTCAGAGCTTGCACTGTTACACCCTTGCTACCATGGGTTTTATCTGAGTACTCCGATTTCCTCCAATGAAGGCAAACACTTGTTAATGGAATCAGCTAAACATCCCAAATGTCCTTGCTATAATGTTAAACTGCATCCGGTGATGGTTTAAAAAAAAACAACGTTAAGGAAGACAGATGGGCTGGAAAGAGCTTGAGCCATGGATCTGCCCATGGTTAGAGAACTCAAGTGAGAAACATCCCAATGCAGGAACCTTCTGCAAATGCGTCTTGAGAATCAGCAAGGCTTTCCTGGGTAAAACAAAAGTCATTGATATTCTTATTATCATCTTTGCACGTTCGGCAAGTGCCCTTTCCACTGAGCCCCCCGACTAATTGTAGGCTCCAGTTTTCGGCGACTCGTGGCACAAGTCTAACATGTATCTACGTTTCCATGACACCTCCATGGAACGCTGAAGTTGATGAATTGTGCCTCGCTTTTCACAGTGAGAATTCACAGTCTCGGGAGCATTCGTTTCACTGCTAATATCCCAGGAGCCACATTTGTGCTCTAAGGCCGGGTTTGTGCATCACAACTCAACAGCTGCACAGCACGACACTAGAGAAAAGCCACGTTTGCTGGCGTGTTCTCCTTGGGGGGGAAGGGGTTATTGCTGTGTCCCTTATTAACGTCGGTGCAATTCAACGCTTTTGAACACACTTGAGTAATCTATGACCCTGCCATGTACCGCGGCTCATTGTGGTGGGAACGCTCATGCAACACTGCTCATGCGACTTTTAGACAGACGTCTTGCCTTTGCACGGGCGATGGAGATAATGAATCCCAGACTGCATGTCCTTGCTGTATTTCTAGATGCAATTTTAGGAGAAACTGAGCATCATCTAAAGCCAGGGCCTCTAAGTTATTAAGTCATCCATCCACTCGCGCATGCAAGCATTCATTTCAAAATCCATTCATCAGTCATTAAGTCCTAATGCAAACACATGGCTGTCACTAGCCACATAATGAATCAACCCACCTCCAGCGAAATGATGAATTTGACACCATTCATGGCCATGTCACGTTTGTAATATATACTTTGTACTGTCTCGAAAACGCGATGTAAATTGTTTGTACTGCCCCTTGTTGCTGTAACTACTTACAGTATTTGTACTATCTCCTTTTTACTCACCCAAAAAGTCAAACCCACCCCACTCATCCAGCCCAACTCACCCAGCCCAACTCACCCAAAAAGTCAAACCCATCCCACTCACCCAGCCCAACTCAGCCAAAAAGTCAAACCCACCCCGCTCACCCAGCCCAACTCACCCAACAAGTCAAACCCACCCCACTCACCAAGCCCAACTCACCCAAAGAGACAAACCCACCCCACTCACCCAGCCCAACTCACCCAAAAAAGCTAAACCCACCCCACTCACCCAGCCCAACTCACCCAACAAGTCAAACCCACCCCGCTCACCCAGCCCAACTCACCCAACAAGTCAAACCCACCCCACTCACCCAGCCCAACTCATCCAAAACGTCAAACCCACCCCACTCACCCAGCCCAACTCAGCCAAAAAGTCAAACCCTCCCCGCTCACCCAGCCCAACTCACCCAACAAGTCAAATCCACCCCACTCACCCAGCCCAACTCACCCAAAAAATCAAACCCACCCCACTCACCCAGCCCAACTCACCCAAAGAGACAAACCCACCCCACTCACCCAGCCCAACTCAGCCAAAAAGTCAAACCCACCCCACTCACCCAGCCCAACTCACCCAAAAAGGCTAAACCCACCCCACTCACCCAGCCCAACTCACCCAAAAAGGCTAAACCCACCCCACTCACCCAGCCCAACTCACCCAAAAAGGCTAAACCCACCCCACTCACCCAGCCCAACTCATCCAACAAGCCAAATCCACCCCACTCACCCGCGCGAGGCTCCTACCCAGGAACGAGTCGACGCGGTTGATGAAGACGCGGCGGGCTCTGGGAGCCGCGGTCGCCTCCTCCTCCATGGCAGCCGGCCTCTCCTCTCGCTCTCTCTGTTGTCAACGTTGCCGTGGCAACGTCGCGCGTGGTCGTGGCACTTTCACAGAGTGCACCCCAATGGGCGAGCTGAGCAGCCATTGGCTGCCGAGGCTGAGCGCGTTTACAAAGTGCACACGAGATCACAGTGTTCATTTAAACTCGAGGAGGAATCCGATAAGCTATAAAGTTATTTTTCACAGATGTCCAGTTGGGGCACGTCAGAATGATACAACAATACAAAAACACGATAGGGGTGCGAAATATAATAAAAGTAAACAAATAACTTTTAAAAAATTGCAAATAAAACTGTATTGCCACGCCCACTCGCGTGTGATTGGCTGACAGGGTGAACGCGTTCGCAGCGTGTACCCAATGTTAACGTGGTTGGCGCAAATGCAAATAAACGTTTCGAGATATCGAACAAGATATTACTCATATTCTTGGTTCTTTCGTTAAAGTCACGTAGAAGGGAAATAATAAAATTATATAAATATATAAAAAAAATATATTTAAATTATTTAAATAATATTACTAATATATTTTATATAAATAATATATATAATTTCTTTTATTTTATTATTTTCCTTCTACGTGACTTTACCGAAAGAACCAAGAATATGAATCCCTGCAGTCACGAAAGCTTTAAATCAAAAGATATGACTCGGTTCGATTCCCAACTCGCATCTCTTCCTGTGTAGAAGCTTTGTATTTTGACCCACCGTTCTGCATGGGTGTCATCCGGGTTCTCCGCTTTGCTCCCACAGCAAACAACAAAAAGCTGTTACTGGTCAAACCATCCCAATGCTGAATAATTGCCTGCAAATAACTCACTTTGTATTACACATAACAACATCACTCTCTCTCTCTCTCTTGCGACAACTTGGCAGGGCCCTCCTGAAAAGAGCCTTGAGACTGAGTGGGGCTTCATTTCGTAAACAAGCGTCATCACATTTTTTTTTGCTGAAAACAGCAGAAAATGTAAACCGAGGATCAGTTTTTGAAAGCAAAACGGCAGCAAAATGCTGAAATATAGAGACGAGGAGTTGTACACCCCTAGCTGCCACTGCAATTCAGTGGCCTAAAATACAATGTTTCGCTCCGGAAGATCGCTGCAAAGTATGATCTGTGTTTTGATTTAGTGTGCTGATCTTTAAGGTGCATTGAAAAATGTTGATACTCCAACTGATGCTCCTGCTGTTGTGGAGTGACTCATGCAGCCAGCTATAGCTGCAGAGTTTCCTATGATCACTGTTTCATTGCTTTTATGGCTTTATTTTGGTGATTTTCGAAAAGTTTTTTGGTTTGGCCATGTTTGTTGTAGTACAGAGTAAGACTGATGGCCTTAATCTAAGTTGTCTTGTGGTTGTTGTTTGACTTGCATCCCACTGGGATTTTTTCACACAGCGTTGGTGTACGGTGTTTTTTTCTGCAATATTTTGCTGTCTTTTCTTGGATTTTCTGTTTGCACTTAGTCACATATTCACTTTAAGATGTTTTCTTGTTCATGTTTTAGTTTTTTGTTTGTTGCGGTTGCACCCGATTCAAGAGCCGAATGGCTCACAGGGCTATACCTAATAAATGAACTTGAACTTGACGAGACCAGGTTTAAGCGATTTACATAATGCCTATCAGCCCGCACATCCTTTGCACGTGACCGTTGGTCCCCCTCTCCAGCCAGGGGGCCGTCCATAAATGACGTCACGCACCTAAGGGAGAGGTGGTCAGATGTTTGTGACGATGTGTGACGAGGGGGGGGGGGGTTTGAGAAATGTGACGTCACATCAAAATGCGCAACTTTAAATAAATATAGACAACACGTTCTACTTAATTAAATATACTTTTTAATGAATGTTTCTCCTACAACATCAGAGTGCAGCGCCACAATAAATACACACTACAATGACGATAGTTTAAAGCGATTTGAAGCATGTTTTATTTTCCAAATAGAAATATGGTTTGGGGAGGGGCAGAGCTTTGTGACGTCATATTTTAGGGGGGGGTCTGACTCTTTGTGACGCCGTGTGACGAGGGTGGGGAGGTCAAAGTGTCGAAAATCGCGTGACGTCATTTATGGACCGCCCCCAGCCATAAACACATTCCTGTGGAGGGAGCTGGTCGGAACGTTGGGTTGCTCGGTCAATGGCCAGGGTCAACGGCGGCGTGGTGTATTCCGCAAATATGCCCGACTGTGAGGGCGGGCACAAGCCGGCGTGAGTAGGTTAAACGTTGAGTTTTATAAGGGCACCACGGGGTGACCAGCCACACCCCTCCCACCCCCCACCCACCCTCCCCACCAAGCCCCTCCCTCCCCACCAAGCCCCTCCCTCCCCACCCAGCCCCTCCCTGCACGACGGACGGACACAATAATCCCCTGAGGGCTGATGTAACCAGGAGGTTTCTACCAGTACCAAGTGCACTCTCGTTGACAATCGCTCCACCACTCGTGCACGTTGGTGAGCGTACTTTCACTCCAGTGACATCGCTGTGGCGTCGTTTGTATTTAAAACACATTTTCTTCTCATTTTTAAAACCATGTCCATCCCAGGATACACCACTTTGGTATTATTTATTGTTGTGGTTGCATATTATTTTAATGAAAACCTACACTTTCGCATATATGAAATATAACATTTGGGTTCACTTACTTGACATATAATTGAAGGCATGCAGCTTAATTAATCATTCACCTCTAATTTAGTGGTAATTAATCGTTGATGCAATACAAAAGTACCAAAGACGGACAAAATGTGTATACATTATTTAAATAACAAAAGTAAATATATTCTTTCACAACATAAGGCACACATTACCTGCTGATGTAATGGCACTTTATAGCTTAACATGACTTAAGTACATGAAAAACAAATCGATTTTATTGAGATTCACATGATGCTTCTGAGTCCAGATAAGCGACGATAATGGTAACTTCACATGTTCAGACTGCGAGTTTGAGAAACTCAATAGGTTGCTAAGATAAACTCATACAATGCATTTATGTGGGTTTGGCTCGTACAACGTTTAACACCTCTTTTCCAGACGTGTATCGTTTGAGTTTTTTCTGCATGAGTTCATTTTCCTGGGTAATCCGGGTCAGCTCTTTCCTCAGCTCATCCAGCTGCTGCTGCCGTTCTCTGTGAATAACATTTAACATTTTCATGAAATGGTTAATGCCCGTAAGTGGAATAAAAACAACTTTATTACAAGTAAATTATCTTCATCTGCTGGCATCATAAACCGTCTTTGAGACCGAAAGCATCGGAATATCACTTCCTAACTAAAATTGTATGAGTGTACTCATAATACCATATTTTTCGATTTAAAGCTTTCGTGACTGCAGGGATTCATCTTCTTGGTTCTTTCGGTAAAGTCACGTAGAAGGGAAGTAATAAAATAATAAAAATAAAACATAATAAAATAATTCTCACGACGTTTCGGCTACAACGCAAGCAGCCGAAACGTCGTGAGAATTATTTTATTATGTTTTATTTTTATTATTTAATTACTTTCCTTCTACGTGACTTTATCGAAAGAACCAAGAAGATGAATACCATATTTGCTCATAAGAATACTGAGGAGCATCACTTTAGCCAGAAGTGTAGGAAAGATTGTAGAGTTGAAGTTGGGGGGACATTGGCCCATGTATATTGAACTTCTTTCGCACCATAAGTACCCAACGGTGCTAACTGGTTTGCATATTCCATTAAAAAGTTAGGGGGTGGTGGGCAGCTGCTTGATCTGCCTTTCCCCCGCTCCCCAAAAGTATGTTCCGTTTCATACGTTTCCAGTTTAACCTCTTACCTGGACCTCCCATTTAACAGGTCGGCGATGTGCTGTTTCAGCTTGCCAATCTTCTCTTCCAAGCATTGCACCTCCTTCTCTTTACCTTCTAGAACTGCAGCCATAGACTCTTTGTGCTGCCTCAAAATAAAACATATAACAAAATGATGCACATTCATTGATCCATTGGGCAAGCACAGCATAGACAATTAAAACATTTTAAGACAAATCATTTACTTAAAAGGCCTGTACATGTTGCAGTGTCGTTACATTTTTTGTGGTCAGTCAAATTATGCAGTTCCCACAAGATAATACGTGAAATGTTAAATTCTGCTATGCTACCATACCAGAGCGCCGCACGTATGCAAACCTGCATTTGCATCTTTTCCACTTCTTCGTGATGCAGTCGTGTGTTTTCCTGCAAGAGAAGCATGCGCTCTTTTGCCAGGTTCTCAACTTTAGCAAGTTCCTCTCGACTTTGTCTGTGCGTCTGCCTCTCAGTGGCAAGCCTTTCCTCAAGCTCCAGCTCCTGAAAAAAACAAAAAGCCCCATTGACCCCTGCACGAGGCTTTAATCATCACTTTTCACAAACTCCTCTTTCCAGAATAAATCATTTTTGCTCTTGAAAGGCCAAAAAAATGAAAGTTAACCTTTGCATCCATTTGTTCGGTCAGTGATGTCACCATTGAATCTTTATCCTTATTTTCCTGTCCCAACAGGTTCACCTGCATTGTCAAGGCACGTATTTGATCCAGCAGCTCTTTCTCCCTGTCTTGAAACTATCAGAAACACATTAAAAGAAAAAAATATGACCATTAAATATTTAACATGTCACGACAAGTCTGTACACGTCTGAAAACGTAAAAGCGAGTTATTTTGCAGCCATTGCTCTACCTGTACGTGCAAATCTGTTGCTGTATTGCCACTTCCCTCTTGGGTTTCCATGCTCGCAGCTGCCTCCTTGGCAGGGTGCCGGGGCACAGGCGGGGGCAGTGACTGGGCAAGGGGCAGGCTCAGCTGTCCTCCGCTGTCGGCCACGGTCGGTGCGATCCCCACGCCGGTGACCCCCGTGACCCCCGTCAGGGAGCCCGTGGCGTTGCGCCACAGAGGACGGCCCGTGGGTCGCACGGCGGGCGGCTGTGCGCCCTGCCTGCAAGGCGCTGCAGCCCGGCCTCGACACTTGCTCGGGGACGGCGGATTTGTCTTCATTGTGTTCATCCTGCCAGGCAGCAGTGGTGGATTAAACAGAGAAGTGCAGGATACATTTAGAGATTGACAACTCACGTAATATAAGACATAGCTGAGACTTGTGTTGCAAAATATGTGAAGGCAACTCCAATAGTGAACTCTAAACTTATCATAAACCTAGAATAAATTCTGACTTACTGCAACTGTTTTGTTACTTTAAAACTATTATGCTCAATATACACATTTTCTTCCATTTTCAGACAAAAGCTAGACACAAAACGCTACAGACCAGGGGTGGTGAAACTACTTTTAAATAAACTAAACATTAAATAGTAACCCTAATGTGCTATGAAGGGCTACTGCCTGAAACGTCACCAATTATATAGTAGTACAGTATTCCATTTAAGGCAGCGTAATTCATGAATGTGTAGCATTTGTTTGTGAACCACTGCGAACGCAGTGTTACCAACTCGTTTAATTTAAACAGTAAATGGTTCAACACTTGAGCGCTCCTGTAGATATATATTATTTATAATTAGTTATCCAGGAAAGCCACACTGAGTGGTAAGACTCTTTTTTAGGAGGGTCCTGCATTTCGGTATTTATTTTGAAGACGTGTTTAGCAAATCAATGAGAGTTTATACACGTGGGACCAAGCCGGAGGAGCCTGGAGAAAATCCACACACGCGAGGGAGCAATACTTAATCCCCGCACAGATGTAAACAGATGGCGATTAGTCCACTTGCTGTACTGCCATCTCCTGGCAAGCCAGGGTACATGGCACCTCGACGCCTACGGGAAGGGAGTTCCACAACATGTGTGCGATCTACCAAGCCTCGCCTCCACGGTGCTAGATTAGAGGCGTGCGATAAACCACCATCATTGCCCGGCTAAATGGCTCGCCATTAGGTTTAGGGCACTACAGAAAGTGTCATTAGGGGCCGTCCATAAATGACGTCACGCGATTTTGGTCGATTTTTGAACCCCCCCCCTCGTCACGCGGTGTCGCAAAAAGTCAGACCCCCCCCTCAAATATGACGTCACAAAGCTCTGCCCCCCCCCCAAAAACCATATTTCCATTTTGAAAATAAAACATGCGTCAAATCGCTTTAAACTATTGTCATTGCAGTGCGTATTTAATGTGGAGCTGCACTCTGATGTTGTAGGAGTGTTGTTATAACAATTAGTGTTGCTATAACAATTTTAAAATGCTGTTAATTCTCTCTTCAGCACACCGGTGGGCTAAAGAAGTGAATTATTTTGTCCTTTGAAAAACGTGACACATGTTTTACTGTTTGGCCCTGTCGGGTGGTGGAGGGTTACGACACAATTTATAAATAACGCGATCTGATCCAAAACCCTATATTATGTATAACAATTCTATCTTTATTTAAAGTTGCGCATTTTTATGTGACGTCACATTTCTCAAAACACCCCCCCCCCCCAGGTGCGTGACGTCATTTATGGACGGCCCCTTATTATGAACACTGAACTGAATGAAATTACAACCACAGCACCGCTCGCTCGCTCGCTCCCGTGTGCGAGGCGCGTTTTAAACGACTCTCTAACTCGCTGATCGACACGCCGTGGCCTTCAAACGCACGCGGTGCAGTCCGCTCGCCTCGGCGGCAGCGAAGGCCGCCGCTGGGATCTGTCAACCCGCGTCGCTCGGACGACGGGAGCGAGAACGCCACACAGCAACAGCGGCGGGTCTCGCAATTAAACAAAAAAGAAACTCCACTTATGAATCATTGCCTCACTTGATGCAGCTGATCTGGCTGTGACGGTCCCACCTGATGACGGAGACTTGTGTTGCCTCCGAAACGTCGTGATCTTTATTTTATTTTTATTAATTTTGATGTTTTACCTACGTGACTTTACCGAAAACACCTAAGAATATGAATCCTTGCAGTCACGAAAGCTTCAAATATAGAAGAAACTCCACTTCACAAACCAACACCGATATCCACCTCGCCGCACGTACAACAACAACAACAAGACGCTAGCGGGCGAGTTTATTTTGATCGCATATTTGTAATAAAGCTCGTTAAAAGTGCTACTTTTGTGAATGTTATAATCCCCATGACGCTGTGGACACACACGCACACGCACCGTTCACGCCGGGTTCTTCCTGTTTACAATTTCCTAGACCGCATACGCCGGCGGGCGTACCGGTGTTGGTTTGTGAGCTCGCCGCTCATTGGTCCGTCCGGCGCGCACGTGACAATATCGACCCCCGCCCGCCCAAACGGACCAATCAGAAATAGCCATGCGTTCTTATGCGCTTTATGGAATTCGAAGAGGTTAGAGATTGGGGGGTGGGGGGGGGGGTTAAGGGGAGCGGTGGTGCAGCGGTTAGCGTTACGCTGCGAATCGCTCCCTGAGCCTCCCCTAGGTCGACTCAGCCTCAAAATGACTACCTGGTGCGGTGTGTTAAACATCGTCACAGGGGGGGGGGGGGGGAGACAAAGGCGGCCGGACGTAGTCGCTGGCCACCCCCACCCTCTCGTTGTGCCCACAGTTGCCGGCCTTCATTCGGTGCTACTCGCTAACAGCACTTGCCCCAACAGTCTGGCCGACAGCCTCTTACGGGGGGACCTTTGTCTTTGGTGGGGAAGGTGAGTGGTGGGGGGGTGGATCACGTGGTGTGAAGCGCGTGCGTTGCGTATGGGGGTGGGGGCAGGATTTGGGGGGGGGGGGTGATCACGTGATGTTTGAATTTCCGTCACCGGGAGTGAGAGTGAGGGGAGGGGTGAGGTGGGGGTGATCACGTGGGGGGGTTCTGGGGGTGGGGGGGGTTGTGGGGGGGGGATCACGTGGGTGGAGCGAACAGCTGATCGAGGGGCGGGGCCGTCTCCCCTGGCAGCCCGGCATATCCACCTCCCGTACAGTATTCACTGTCATCTGTATCGTTCCTTTACAGTATCACTTCAGTGTCAAATATCAATATGTATATACTCGTTGTTTGAATTAATTCTACATCTGTAAATAATAATAATAATCGAAGATAAATCATCGACGTGTGGCGGCAATCAGAAGCCAGGGGAACGCGTTCGTGAAGGAGGAGTCAGGTGTCTACAGGAGAGATAAAGGCGGACGGGGCCCAGCAGTTGCTAAGTGCCGAGGTTTGAATGACGCTGCTGCTGCTGCTGCCGGGCAAGTGAGCGGCTTTCACGCCTTTTTATTTATCTTATAAGACAACAATTCATCGTTCAATCGGCGTATTGCTTCCCCGGATGATATCGATTCGCTCCTTCGCCGCACGTCCGATTTTATGAATCTGATAAAGTCATTATTTTTATTATTTATTTTTATTTACGTGACTTTACCGAAAAACAGCTAAGAGGATGAATCCTTGCAGTCACGAAAGCTTCGAATCTAAAACTGATAAAGTTGCACAAAAATCACGATGCTACGTTGGTAGTGGTGGTGCACAAGCAGATTCGGTGGCTATGCACGAGGGCCATTGCCTGAAACGTCGCACATAAATTATTTTTATTCATCCCATTAGGGTGGCGTTATTGAGGAATGTGTTGAGTTTAGATCGGCTTGGGAGAGCAGTAAGTCAACTCGAGTTGACGACAGTATTCTTCAACTTAGATAAAGTTTCATTTTTGTGTGCGAACCGTTACCGAAGCTTTGTGCAGCCAGGGACAAGGGGCCGTCCATAAATGACGTCACGCGATTTTGTATGATTTTTGACCCCTCCCCCCCGCTCGTCACGCGGCGTCACAAAGAGTCAGACCCCCCCCTCAAATATGACGTCACAAAGCTCTGCCCCCCCCCCCACACCCAAAACCATATTTCCATTTTGAAAATGAAACATGCTTCAGATCGCTTTAAACTATTGTCATTGTAGTGCGCATTTAATGTGGCGCTGCACTCTGATGTTGTAGGAGAAAACGTTAATTAAAAAGTCTATTTAATTCGGTAGAACGTGTTGTCTATATTTATTTAAAGTTGCGCATTTTGATGTGACGTCACATTTCTCACCCCACCTCGTCACACATCGTCACAAATGTCTGACCCCCCCCCCCCCCAGGTACGTGACGTCATTTATGGACGGCCTCTTAGATAAAGTTTTCTTTTTGTGTGTGAACCGTTACCGAAACTTTGGGCAGCAGCTAGGGACAACAACATTACCGAGGTGCCAGTTTTTGAAAGTAGATTTTTTTTTGTTCTAGAAAAAATCTATGCCAGAGTTCACCCGTTCGATCTCCCGGTGCGGCACTTACATCAATGCCACCAACCCCCCCGCCCCCCCACGGCCGATGTCCACCCAGCAGTATAAATGGGTACAATCTGGTCGCTGCCACCTCCTTACAAGACGTCGGGCAAGCGTGGAAGAGTAGGCCTAATTCATCGGAGGGGCCCGTCTTCTGCCAGCAGTGGCCTTATCAAGCAATTCCAGGGCTGCACCTTTATCTTGTTTTTCCCTTTTACGTAGATTGGAAAATGGGAATACAACCTTTGTCAAGGCGCCCCCCCCCCCTTCCAACCCAGCTTATATATATGCTCCAAGCTGTCGCCTCGACAGACCTGGTTTTCACCTGAGGACGGCTGCTTGCGTTGTGGCCGAAACGTCGTGAGAATTATTTTATTATGTTTTATTTTTATTATTTTATTACTTCCCTTCTACGTGACTTTACCGAAAGAACCAAGAAGATGAACCTTTGAACGAGTAAATGGTAAAAAGTAAATAATAGTTACGGGTTTCGAAGCTCAGTGGCTCATTATTTACTTTGGATCGTTATTGAACACGTTGAGGGCCCAATAGATTTATAATCATTACAGGAGAGTATTGCCAGGAAGTCTTGGGCAATGACCTTACTGGTTAATCATTTACTATTCGCAGACTGCACTGAGTCATTAAACACTCAATCATAAACAAACACAACATTTAGCCCCGATGTCCTCTCACTGCTGGATGAAGGCCTCCCCCACAATGTGGGGGATTGTTGGACCATACTTCACCGCACTGGTCATTGGTTTGGTTAGTGAAGGAGGGTCAAGGGCACCGACTCGATTCAGATATCACCCGCCGCCGTGGTCACCTTGGGCTGAGAAACCAACTCGGGGCTCATTCATATAACTGCCTCCCTCCCTCCCTCCCCCCGATTTAACCAGGGCAAACCCTGCTGAGATGTTTAAGACTCTATGCTCTGTGTTAACGAGAGAGAGAGAGAGTTTGGTTATTAATTATGTACGAAACGTTTGACAATTTGCAATACAACACTGCAGTTGTTGGCAAAATGTGCTGCTTGAGTGCTTTGAGGCCGAGCTGTTCGTACAAATGGCAAGAGTCTTGCGTCTGATTTGTATATGTGATTCTGACAGCGACTTATTTGAAGTCGAATTTCATCAGAGAGCTAGAAAGCGGACATTTGATGGAATATATGAGTGTAAAACTGTAAAATAAGAAATACGTTTGGTTTTTTATTTGGAGGCCCAATAACAACAGCCTGGAAGTTGATTGATGTCACCCCAGAGGGAATAGTCAGCGCAATGTTCTGAAATGTTTCAAGTGTTGTCGTAAATGCTTAATAATATGTGACCCTCGTCATCATCGAATCAAGTAATTCATCACTTGTGTAGTGTGACGATATAGCCAATAATGAAAATTGATGAAATCAAATAGATTAATTTAATCGTTATATTCTTGGCTCCCTTCACGTAGAAGGGAAATAATAAAATAAATGTCTTGCTCTGGATTTAACACCTGATGATTGCTTGTGTTGCAGTCGAAACGTCGTGAGAATTTTTATTGTTTTATATTTATATTATTTTATTATTTCCCTTCTACGTGACTTTACCGAAAGAACCAAGAATATGAATCCCTGCAGTCACGAAAGCTTTAAATCAAAATTTAATTAATCTTTGTTATTACATCGTCCAGAAAATGATTTTTTGGTTGAGTGTCTTCCTTTACGATAAGCCACGTAAAAGTTTTTCCTAAAGATTGTAAAAAAAATTTGTTGGAACTGGCACGGTATCAGCTGTCACCATCTATTCTATGTTCATACCCAACAGACGGTGGGCCATTGCAGATTAGAGGTGCATGCACAAGAACGGTGCAGATTTGTATTTCATGGCATGTACATTAATTCATGAGGTGGTGGGCACAGTGGTTTGCGCACTGCGCTATGAAGCCAATAACTTGAGTTAAATGCCGTGCCACGGCCAAGATCAGGAGCGAGTTTTATCTGATCTAGTCTTGGCTCCCATTCCTTCACCAATTCGCACTGACCAGTGTGGTGAAATCTTATTAACCCCCTGATAACTGACCAACACTGTGTGAAGAGGCCTTCATTCAGCAGTGGACTAACAGAGGGCTAATCTTTTTTTCTATTCATAATTTATGAATGGGAATACAAAAACATTGAAAGAGGATTTTGTGCCAGCTGGTATGTGGTTGGCAGTCTGCTCGACGGAAACGCATGGGTATGAAGAGCACTCTTCTCATGCGTCTGCAGCCACTGGCGAGGAACGATGAGCCAAGTGGGACAACCCGAGGGTGGCGGTGGCGGCGGCGGTGCGTGGCCGGCGCAAGCGGCGCAGCAGGAGCTGCTCGACTCGGTGCTGCGCTCGCTGCTGGTCCTCGAGCCGCCGGGCGACTGGGGCAGCATCGCTCGGCTCGTGCCCGGCTGCAGCGCCGACGATGTGAGGCCCCCCCGTCCTCCTTCGAATCAATGCAGTGTACACAATGCCTGTGGAGAAATAAACCGCGGTGTGCCGCACATCTCGCCAGATCTCGGAAGCTGAGGAGTGTTGAGCCCGGATAGTGCTCCAATGGGTGACCACCGTTGACGCCTGATAGAGTCAGATCTCAGAAGCTAAGCAGAATTGTTGGGCCTGGAAGGCGTTTGGAGTGGTGACCATGCTTCGGATGTCAGAAGCTAACCGTGTTTGGGCCTGGCTAATGCTTGTTGGGTGACAACCGTGTGTAAAAGCAAGGGGTAATTAGGTGTTGTGGTTAGTAGCGGATAGTGCAGCAAACGTCTATTGTTGATCCCCCCCCCTCCATCTTCACCAGTTCGCACTGTCCAGTGTGGTGAAGTATGGTCAAACAGGCCTCACAGCAGAGGATTGATAAAGCAAGTTGTACATGTACAGTACAATGCAGTTGGAATTTATAACGCGTCTAAATGTGACCGCATCTCAATGTGCTGCACAGAAACGGCACGCAATTATACTTTGTAGATTTGTACAGAAAAAGCAAGGTCGTGTGCCTGGACTGGAACTGTAGAGCAGGGGGGGTTGATGACACAGAAGGCTTGGGGAACGGCGTTTTGGGCATTAACGTTGTACCCTGTGAATCCTGAAGGTTCCTTAGACGAGTGCTGTGTGCGCTTTTTCATGATCGTGTGTGTCTTTGTTAGTGCAGTGACTTCTTATGTCGCACACGTGTGTACACAATTTAATAGAGCATAATTACCATGTCAAGGGGGTGCTAATTTAAAACGTTATGATCACGGCTTGCCTCTCGTGAAGTGCCCATCGGTTCACGAGAGCTATGAGCCACGGGGGACCACTTAGAGCGGGGGAGGGGGACCCACTGCCCTTGAGCCGTTCACAGCCCGTGACTTCAGCTCATGTACTGCTCGCAGTCACAGTATGTACATTCATTCTTGAGCGGGTGGCACAGTGGTCTGCACACTGTGCTATAAATGCAATGGCTTGAGTTACAATTCCATTTCAAAACAACCCGGAAACGTAATTAGTTGTCAATGTGAGCATCTCAGCCGTGCTAACCAGCTAATAGAGGGGATAATATTGTACAGCTGACAACATTGCGTTTAAAATGTATAGTCACGTCGCTGCAAGGGCCCATTTACACTCGCACGGAATCTTCCCGTTATTATTGGATAACGCGAAGGAGGGTGTTAGCATGTGACCTGCCAAGGGTACTTAAAAACTACTCTTCGGCGCCCTGCAAGCAAACTGCCCCACGGAGGCCCTTGACTTGGCCCAACTGAGCCACCTTCTTTACCACCGGTTGCACTCTGCCCGTTGCGCGGTGGAAACGCGGGACGCTCTGCGCACGCGCTGTGGAAACGTCGAGGAAGCACTTCACGGAGAAGGGTCATTCATGGGAGTGCGTCGCTGTGCTTCGCAGTGTGCCCGGCGTTTCGAGGAGCTGAAGAGAAGAAGCGCCGTCCTCTCGCTCGTTCCCAGGGCTCATCCGGCAGGTGACGATGGGCCGGACGCGCCGTTCCAGGCTTTGGTCGGGCACATCAAGGACTTGCTGCTGCTGCGTTGCGCCATGAAGGCGCAGCCGTCAACCCAGACGGACAGCGTGGCGTGCTGGCCCCCAGGTGCGCAGCACGGCATTCTGCTGAGCGTTACAGTATTCTGTAGTCAAAACTTGTTTATGTTGCAAATGTGATTATCCTGTCAGCGATTAGCTCAATTGTCCCGTTCCAGGGTCTAAATTCGATTCAAGAACCCAATGTTAAAATAATGTATTTTTATACACACAGGATCGGATGCACGCATTGCGAGCTTAAGAATCTATTTGAATCAGGAATTTTTTCACGCTTGGCGAGTTGCTTTTTTCGATTTTTATGTTTTGCGTCAAGATGTTCCTGCTACATCTCCTGCCAAAACCGGGCTCCACAAGGAGGAAGATGCAGCTGATGTTGCAGAGCCAAAGAAGTCAACGGAAAGTCAGGGGTAAGCTGTGGCTGGACCTAATGTATGAGGCTGTGGCACGCTGGTTCGTGCACCGCATGATTAAATCGGTGACCCGAGTTTGGTTGCCCAGCCACGGTGAACATCAGTGAGCATTCCCTTAAATCTGGCTTTTTTATCCATGGCTCATCTGGATACTCCAGGTTCCATCACGAGGTGCAACTCTCTCCATTTGTATTGGTCAAACATCCCAATGCAGAAGCCTCCTGAAAAATAAAGGCATTGTATGAAACTGCCCATGGGACTCCAGCAAGCACCATACCTACTCTGCCTCTAGCTGACAGTGATAAGATATGCACGCATATGAGTGTGTACGCGCCATTGTTTGTGGTGGCATTTGGGAAGTGGTGGCACAGTAGTTGGGCACACTGTGCTATGAATCCAGAGACCTGAGTTCAATTCCCAGCCAGGACAAATGCCAATGGCGAGCAGTGTCTAATAGCTGAAGCAGTCCGAGGTCACCTCTATAGGTTGACTCGGCTTTAAATGAGTACCTGGTACGGTGAATAAATACAGCGATTGGGCGACAAAAGCGTCTGAGCACCACCACTCTTTCGTGTGCTGTGCCTGCATTAATAGTTGCTCTCTAACAGCACTTACCCCGACAGTCTGCTAAAGGCCACAAGGGGTGGGACGGCGGCAGGGGTAATCTTTGCACGCGTGCGTGTCCGTGTGTGCACGCAGGCCCACGATGGTGATCCACGTGTGCGACGAGGCGCGCGGCGTGAAGCGAGACTTCAGCTGCCCGCGCCAGCTGCTGGTGCAGGAGATGCGCTACTTCTCCGAATACCTCTCCATGGAGGCCCAGCGCTGGGAGGATGTGGACATCTCGGTCCACTGCGACGCGCACATCTTCGACTGGCTCATGCGCTATGTCAAGCGCAACACGCGGCTTGCAGACCGCGGAGAGCAGCCGCAGCTTGGTAGTGCTCGCGTAAAATAGTATTTCGAACCCTCGTGCAACTAAAAATAAGCATTGTGGTGGCTGCTAGAGGCTCGGGGGTTTGTATGAAGATCACAGCAGGATTCTAGACTGTGCTGACAAATTGTTACGGACGCACTACTAACCCATGAATAACATCCTGAGAATATAGGTGATGTATTACAATGCATCCATTTTGATCACTATACAAAGAGAACACTGTTGAAACCGTGGGGTAGCTGTTAATTGTATTACTCTTGTTTACCCAGCAAAGCCTCATCGAGTCTCATGAGCTTTTTAGAAGTGTTCTACCAAGTTTAAAGCAGTAATGTGCGATGATTGTTACTTTTTTCCAGTCGAGTAATTTTTCAAGTTGACAAATTTGAGCCATGACTTCGGTACACATGGGTTGACTCTTGCGAATTCCATTGGGATAATGAACGTCCATTGCAAAGCAGACATCGCGTAATATTATTACGCTTTATTAAACCCAGAGTAATAATCAGGGCGGCTGCTGGATTTTAACAGTGAAGCTCTGCAACAATCGGTGAATAGGCTACCGATAGGCCACATCGCAGCCCCGAAAAGTTGAGAACCCCTGCTGCAGAAATGCTGTGCAGACACTTTGGCTGTGCAAGACCAAAATAAGTGTAGCTGAGTTGGTGAAATGTCAGCTCTTACAGGGGCTGATTGCTGCCATGCATAACACCATTGTCTATGGAAATAGCCTCCGTGCTTATTTGTTTTAAGAGCTTTCTAGGCGCAAAATGGTACCATAACAATAGCTTCTGCTCGTACTGCTTTTGTATTTGTGAGTAGGAGCTTCTTCTCCCGTGGTGTTGCGTGTTGCACGCACTTGGTATGCCATCTTGTTATGTTTCCTTGATTTGTTTAGAAAATCACGCGTTGCCAAGGGGGTTTATTGGTAATATGCTTAAGAAGACTAGCAGCCCGTACATCATTTGGATGTGATCCTCCCTCCCTCCAGCCGATTAGCCAGCCAGCCAGCCAGCAAAACTTTTTCTGGCTATATAGTGAATAACAATCGTCTTCCTCAACCCCCAACATGCACACCTCCCCACCGCTAGGTGACCCCCAGTGCCCCCCCCCCTCACCAACTGCACCTCTTTCTCGTGTACCCCTCACCACACGTGCCCCCCGCGGCCCCCGCAACCACTCCCACCTGCACTTCCCCTCTGTGGCCCACCCCGCACCCCCTCACTATGCCCCCCCCCCACCGCACACCCCCACTTGTGTGCCGGCCACCCATGCACCCCCTCCTTCTGGCGCCCAGGGTAGTGCATAGCCTCCAGTCAGTCAGGATGGCGCATAGCCAGCTAGGCAACCAGCCAGCAAACTTCTTTTTTAAATAATATAATATGAGAGAGAGAAATAACTTCCCCAAATGAAGTGGAAAAAAGGCGACATTGAATGTTCTGCTTTTTCTGTGCGGTCATTTGCAACCAAGCTGAGACCATACATTTTGACTACACCTCTTGAAAATCCTGCTGAATCGCGGTTGGCTGAAACCCGAATTTGAACCCAGGTTCTGCGCTCTTCCGGGGCAGTGCTCCGATTACCGTGCCACCCGGCCACCCCTAAGGGGGCAAGGTCGTGTTCCTCTTGTGGACCCAGCAGTTCCATCGTTAATCTATTTGATCCCTACAATCGAGATTCACGGAGCTGCGATGTCGTTCAGTGATAGCAAAAACCCTGTTACTATCTTTAATTAACCTCTTAGTTACTCTATAATGGGGATGGCATGATGTAATAATTCATATACTGTCGATTCTTGAGCAGATACATACATTGAATTTCATGTGTAAGAATCAATATTTCTCGATGCATATATGCTGATACGTAATCGTTTTACGTCACTCCTGTAACAAATGTGCTACGTTTTACCGGAGTGTTGAGTTGAATCGCAACCCTGATGAAACTTGATTCGATCATTCAATTTAGTAAATTTTATTAACCCATTTTTTTTATAGAACTCTGTTTTGTATCTCACGATACAAAAAATGTTTTAGCCATTAGCTGGCTTTTGAGACCAATATCCAGCAGTATTTATGAACACGGAAATGTTGTTGAAACATGGTATTACCTATAATGGTCCACTGCAACGCAATAGTGAGTTTTAATGCAATTAAAAAAAAAGAGCATTTGTCTTTGATTTCAACTCTCTAACCATTACCAAAACTTATATTACGTTTAAATTTCACGTGCATTATACGGTACTGATAAATGTACACTTCCATGTTACCCCTCCCCACCACCCATACAGAACCAAACAACGTAATCTCAATTCTCATCTCGTCAGAATTCCTAAAAATGGACTCTTTGGTGAGTATGCGTAAACTTTCGTATATTTTTTCAGCTGAGGCTAATTTGCCTTGTGGGAACGCACATCTCGCAGCAGCAGCAGCAGCAGCAACGCCGTGACCCCTCGTAAGGAACGCGAGCTGGTTGTGCGAGCCGATATTTTGAAACGCTGCACAAACACTGCACTGTTTTGCCTTTGTTTTCCAAACGGAGACGCAGTTGTGCCTGCGACACTCGTTTCTTGACAACGGTTGGACTGTGTTGATTTCATCCACGCCAAAAAGCCCCACCGTCGTCATGGAATAAATCCGCTGGTGCGGCTCAGTGCTTGCGTTCGAGGCCGTCCAGTCTCATAAGTCCGAGGCGAAACCAAGGCTGTGACATTTCCATTTTTCTTGTTTAATTCTTTTTTTTAAAATTACAACTAATTTTTGCAACGTCTGTTATTGCACTTGGAGATTTGTCATTCTCATAATTCGGACGCAATGGCAGAGTGAGCTAACGATAAAATATGTTTTCGTACAATGTGTTTTGTGCGTAATTGCTTTATTGCATTTGTGAAGTTGTGTTTAATTTCGGTCGTGTGCTCGGATTGTTTGTTTTGGGGCCGTGTTCCAAAATTTCACTGTTTCACAATTTCCTCGGGACCTCGACGGCATATGTTTACAACGTTCACCATCTGTAATGTGTTCTTCTCAAGCCAACTTGTATTTCTTCAAAGGTGATGCTGCTACATTGCCAGTGGTGCACAAATACAAATAACAAAGCCTTAACACGCACATCAGTAACACTGGCCTTAAAAGTAAAAATATCTAATTTGCTTGAAATTTCGGACCATGGCCCATCTTCTTTCTTGCTCTAGAATTGGAAAGCAGCGTCGTCCTCTGTCCTGACAGACGAATGACCGTTTGCGGGCCGGTGTTGTGTTCAGCTTGTGCCTCACAGGGACAGCTGCCATGGGGCGTCCCTTGCCGCCCGGTGCCTTGAGAGGTGTCGTACAAATATTAAGTGACAGTAATTATATTAATTTAGTGCATTTGGTTGTTGTGCCACCTTTATAACGCAAGGCTATCACGAAGGCACTATGTTTCAACAAACAACAGTCTGCAGTAAGTTCACAGTCGGGGGCATTGTTTGCTAATTGATTAATTTGCAGGTAATTTGGCAAATTTGGACCATAACACCGACGCACAATGGCTCACTCTTGAAAATAAAGTCAGGAGAGTCTTTTACGTCCATTGCGAAGCAGACGGCATGCACTGTATGGTTAATGCTTCTGCAGTATTCGCCAGGGCAGCCTTCCAAATTCAAACCGCGAATATCTGCAACAAGCGGCGAACGCACTACCGTTGGGCCACGTCACCGCCCCAGAGTGATGATGATGGTGAACTGCCTTCATTTCCCTCCCGTACGCGTGCAGGTGGAGGAGTGCGTGCGGTACTGCCATGCCCGCATGGCCGACGTGGTGTCAGCCCCCTCGAACATGAACTGCATTGGCGAGGAGCTGGTGATGCGCATCGCGGATTTGTTCACTCACAGCCAGGCCGAGGAGCTCAAGGATCGCAAGGACAAGTTTAGGAGGTGGGGTTTAGTTTGCACGAGTGTCCTGAATTGTTTAAAAAAAAAATCTTCACAATTATATTGCAATTGTTCTTTAGTTGTCTGGCTATGAGACAAAGACATTTTCAATATGAAACCCTAGCAGTGAGTAGTGTGGCAAGCATTGCACCACTCTGTGTCGAGAACAGTCTGGCAGATGTCGTGCAACTACTTTCACAATTACGTCATTGGGCTTAGGTTATTCAAGAAAGTTGCACATGTTCTGTATGCCCCGCTCCTAGTTTTCATAGCAACCCCACTTATGTAGTGTTCCATGCTCAAGTCATTTATTAAATTGATAAAAAGTAATTCGCGACCATTCTGAGACCATCAACTCACACGATACACGATTTACTCACTCTTCACTTCCTGTGGAGCATAAGGCCACGACAAGCCCACGCCATGCCGGGCAGTCTTTAGCAGCTTTCTCTGCTTCCACTATACTCGAGAATCCAATTAACTATGGGCGGCTGACCCCCCGATTCGAACTCAGGCACTCGGCAGCGCCAGCTCTGCTCTCACACAGTACGACCTCCCCGAGACACCCGGCCACCCGCGGTGAATGTTTAAGTGGTTTAAAAACATGCCGCATAACGTTTGGCCATTTGTTACCATAATTCCCCAACCATCATCCGTGTTTGTCATTAGGCGGAGTTGCTTCCAATGGCAACAAAATCCCCGTTACGATAAACAAGAACCTCTGGGACAGATGGTGAATGCACTCTGTTTACTCCGTCCCATGTTGATCGTGCTTTGCTTGTGACCAAGCATCGTTGTCTATTGCTGATGTGCCTGTTTACTTAACATCCTGGTTATGGATCTTCATATTTCCAGCGCAATGGCACACCCTGCTGACCAGCCGCGCGCCAACGCATTCTCGTCCACTACACGTGCAGCGCGTTTTGTCCGTCCGCTTCTGGATGAGGGCCTCTCCACATTCAGAAGCGGTGTTAGTTTACCATACCTCACCACGCTGGGCCAGTGCGCATTGGATGAAGGTGCAGGGAGCACAGAACAATGGATTTAGCTGCACTGCCCTCTACTGCCCACAGGGCCTACAACACCTGCGTTTGTGCTTGGTGGTCAGCCATCCAAGCACTCTCCCAGGCTCAATCCAAGGTCTGATAAGATCGGGCACATGTTATTTTAATGTAATTATAATTACTTAGTTATCCAGGAAAGCCACACTGAGCCATAGGACTCTTTTTCAGAAGGGTCCTGCATTGGTATTTTAAGATGTTTTCAGCCAATAGATGAGCCTTCATACAAACTAGAGGAAACCGGAGCGTCCGGAGACAATCCACGCGTGCGAGAGGGCAACTGCCTATCCCTGCACAGTTGGAAACAGATGGTGATTAGTCCAGTTGCTGTGCTGCCTTCTCCTGGCGAGTCAGGGTATGGCACCTTGGTGCCTACGGGACGGGAGTTTCACAGCATTTGAGTGATCTACCTACCCTCGCCTCCACAGTGCTGGATTACAAACTCTTAGGTTTTTTCGGTAAAGTCACGTAGGTAAAAAATAAAATTAAAACTTAATAAAAGTAATAATGGAAATTAAATTAAATAATAAATCACGACGTTTCGGAGGCAACACAAGTCTCCGTCATCAGGTGGGACCGTCACAGCTAAAATTACTGCATCAAGTGAGGAAAATTCCAAAAGACCAGCCCTTAAATACAAGTTAAGGGGGGAGGGGCTTATCTGAATGTGGTAACCAGGGAATGGAACGTGGTGGTGGTGGGCGGGGCTACAAGAGAAATTGGTCAACGTCGACCTGTGCAAGACAACAATCGGTGTACCTCGACCTAAACCGATGTTGGTTGAGAATCCAAAGTGGCCAGGGCTAGAGCACTGAGATGGCACCGCTATGTTCCGAGGTTTGAATATGAGCAGCCGCCCGTGATTAAATTGTACTCTCAAATGCATTGAGTTGATGGTTTCGGTGCGTTTATGACTTATTGAACAAAACAACAAAAACCTCCCGTTAAACTTCGTTTTGAATTTAATTTGACAAATTTTAGTTCTGGAGAATTAAAAATAACGGGTTGACTGACGTGTGGCAAGCTGCCTCTTAGCAGCGTGTGTTGGAAATTGTGACCCCTACTGCATAAAACATATTTATTTTTGGGTACACGTGAAACATCTGCAACACAGCCATTCCCTGACACATGGAGCACGCGACCGCAAGATTTCGGAATGGATTTTCCATTTCGTGATGCATTTCCAAGAGCACAACCGGAATGATTTTGGGCGGAAAAGAGCAAAACAATAAAACAAAAACTTTGACAAATTATCTGGCGATGCTGCATTCGCAGTGATGCACAGGTACGATTAAGAACACACCCAATGCATGAGCTAATTATATGCTGTGAAGAAGGGTCATTGTTTGAAACGGCGTTATTGACGATGCTCTTGAGTGTAAAGATAACTTTCGATTTAAAGCTTTCGTGACTGCAGCGATTCATCTTGTTGGTTCTTTCCGTAAAGTCACGTAGAAGGGAAATGATAAAATAATAAAAATAAAACATAATAAAATAATTCTCACGAAGTTTCGGCCACAATGCAAGCAGCCGTCCTCAGGTGAACGCTGTCTTTCCGACAGACCTGTTCTTCACCTGTTTTATTTTTATTATTTTATTATTTCCCTTCTACGTGACTTTACCGAAAGAACCAAGAAGATGTAAAGATAACGTAGAGGCTGTTTGCCAATGTTTTGTCTTGAAACATCGCAAATTGCTTCAAGAGGAATTTGTATCATTCAGCGTAACGCTCTCGGTCTTTGCTGTCCGTGTGCTCTTGCCAGTAAAATCTTCTGTAAGAAAATCGAGCGGCTGTTCGACGCGGAGCACAAGAACCCTGACTCTCCGAGCTCCGCCGCCTCTGTTTACAGGTGAGCGCCGCAGTTGCAGCCGTTAGTTGCAAATAACACAAGGTCGCATATCCGACACGCTGGGGGGACTGGAGGTATAGGCGGATTTGTGAAAAAGATCAGACGTGTGAACGTCTGTAGAGTGACAGTTGCACCTTGTCTAAATACTGCACTGGGTGCATGCAGTTAATTTACCAGAATGGAAAAGTGATGGTCGGATATGCGACGTATTCTATCCTATTCTTGGTTCTTTCGGTAAAGTCACGGAGAAGGGAAACAATAAAATAATAAAAATATAAGACGATAACATTGTCTTATATTGTATTATATTTTTATTATTTTATTGTTTCCCTTCTACGTGACTTTACCGAAAGAACCAAGAATATGAATCCCTGCAGTCACGAAAGCTTCAAATCAAAATATTCTCTCCTTATTAGTGTAAGATAACAAATGTATACATGCGGTCCTTTTGTGAACCACTGCTAGAATAAGGGTCCCCCCATGCTGTGCGAAACGTGGGGCTTATTTTTCCATACTTCCCCACGCTTGGTGATGGCAAATTCAGGGGGAGAGTAAACGTGTAATGATGCATTTATTTGTTGATTAAAACCTGTTATTACTATACTTGTTTACTCAGGAAAGCCTGACTGAGCCTTATGACTTTTTCAAGAGGGTCCTGCCAATGTTCCACAGTTGGGGGTGATGACTGCTATGTGTAAACCAATTGTGATATGCAGTTTTGCATGAATGACGGGATATCAAGTTAAATTATTGAGTCATTTACGGGTAAGTTTTAAAATATTGACCATACTGCTGGCATACGATGGCGTACTCTTGCGAATGCCGTCGCGTGATTTTTAACGTCCACTTTGAAGCAGACAACTCGTATTTTTATGGTTAATACATCTCCAGCATTAACCATGGCAGCCGCTGGATTCGAACAGTAGAATTTTGCAACAAGTCGTCAACGCGCGACCGCTAAGGCCGTGTCACCTCCCAGTTATCAGGCTCAATATCAAGATATCAGCAGGGGCTTGCCGTGTTTGTTTGTCGTTACCTAAGCGACGCCGTAGTGATGTTCTTTCCCGACTGGAGCAGCTGTCGCTCCCACCCCAGCCCGCCCTGCCCGCCCGCCCGCCCGCACGCCACGGCCTCTCGTCGTGTCTTCTTGCAGGTGCCGGCTCTGTCGGAGGCTGCTGACCAAGGACACGCAGAGCAAGCTGCCGTGCGTGCGCAGCCAGATGCTCATCGACCGCCACGGAGAGATTCTGTATCGCCATGTCAGGTTTTCCGAAAACCCCCCCACTCCCACTTCACCCCACCCTCTCTCTCGCTTGGTGATTTTTTCTGGAATTTTCATTTTTTCATGTATACAGACACACGAACCGATTGGTGTACACGAATAGACATGGACAGATGCGTGTATCTAGACACAGACGAGTGAAAGTGGACAGACACACCAATGACGATACATATCCAGACAAGCATATCTGTGATGAGGCGTACAGTTGCCTTTTAGGATCAGGTTAGCACCCAAATTTCGACCTCTATATTAATGCAGTTGACTTCATTTATCATCATCATCATGCAGTCCGTCCCCAAGGATGGAGTCGGTAATTGTTCGGCATCTGATACGGTTGGTACGTTTGGCTCCTGTGAGTTCGCTTGTGACTTAGCAAGACCGGCATTTGAACGACGCACACCCTTCCACAGAGATCACACGCACACAGTGGGCAGAGGATAACTCCTGATATCCAACTTCACCGGTCGACACTGCAACAACCACTCCTGACTCTCGTCTTCCGAGTGCATTTATCGACACCGCATGAAAATAAAGTTTCTAGAAAATAACACGTGCCTTCACGCCGCTGTCTCTCCGCCCTGCTCCTCCCGTGCAGGGAAAGCGGCTGGGACGTGTACGAGTATCTGTCGGTGCTCCACAAGGAGCTCAAGTCGTGGCGCAACGTCTACTGGCGCCTTTGGGGCACCGTCAACTACCTCACCTGCTCCCGCTGCAATCAGGTGCAGTCTAACGCAAGCAGGTTCAGGAAGAATCATGCACACGTATGGACTATGTAATGTTCTCCAGCACGCGCTTGCCTTCGTAAGTGTTCGGTTGGCAGTACGGAAGCTGACGGGGAGTTGTCGGAGCAAACTGCGTTTGATTGTTATCAAATAGTTCGTTTTGCGCTGGTTTGTGTGTTCCTAGTTTTGGCCAAGAATTTGGGCAATACGGCTAGGTTTCAAGTGGGCTAGTCCCTAACAGCAACGCAGCTTTCTCTTAAATTTTTGTTCATATTGGATCTGCGTTTGTTATAGTGCACCTGCCGCTTACCAATGGACACATGGACGAGCTGATGCATAAAACGCTTTCAACCTATGTTGAAAATAATGAAAACTCAACGTGCCATATCTGACTGATAAGTCGACGTTTAACAATTCTGCAAGTATGGATTTAACTAATAAATTGCAATCATGTACCCGTTTGTATTTTTTGGTGTATGATGTCAGTGATTATTTTGAGGGATGCTCTGCACAACTACTTGGTACAAAAGGTTAACGGTAGGTGCGTGTGCACAAGTTAGTGGTGTGGGTGGCATTAATTTGGTGGATATGAGTAGATTTTCCGCAGAAAGATCTGTATTGTTTACAAATACAGTATGTTGCATATCCAACCACCATATCCACCTATACTTAAGTCCCCTGTGAGTCAGATCTGCAATGTTGTAGCATACTTCCAGCATGTCCAAAGCACCATTTTTCCGAGAAGTTTTTCTTTTGGTATATTTTGTAATCTTCAGCTGGAGCTGTAAGTCAACATAAAATGCCACAACCCTCAAAACGCAAGCAATGAGGCTTGCCTTTTCCAAAGCTCATTCGTATTCTAAGTAACATTTCACGTGTGTGTGCATGTGTGTTTTTGTCGCAGGTTTTCTTGTGCAAGGATTTGTCCCATTGCCTGTACCACACGCACCCGGCCCTCTACGGGGATGACTGGGTGGCTGGCGCGCCCACTGGCTTAGGGATCTATCCCTGCTGCAAGCAGCGCACGCTCCGCTTTGATCTCTTGCAGCCCAGCAAGGTCAGCCACTGCTGCCAATGGGAACACATTCACCTGCGAGTTTAAACAACAGCATCGTTTGCCTAGCATTGCCAGGTCCATGGATGGGAACAGCCGGGGAGGAGTGGCGGGCTTCAATCAGTGCAGTTCGCCCCAAACCTCAGATCCGAGGGGTTCTCAGGGTCAGGATCTTTATTTATCCTGGAGAAATCCGATGAACTATGAAGCTCTTTTTCACAGATGTCCAAATATCGGGAAGTTACAACAACAGAAAGGGCAGAGACGGCCCCAGGCCTCCAAAAACCTTCCTGTCAACCCTGAGTGTCACTACAATTGTAGCAATTGGTATCCGATGAATCCCTCCCAGTGATTTAATTCATTGTTACAAATCAGAGTCATGATTACATCTGATTCGCCATGCCACCATCTCCCCGTCCATACCTAACTCACCGTGCCAACCAATCCAGTCTTAGCTGAACCCGATTTGCTACCCTACCCCTCACTAACCCTCCCCCCCCAACTCCCCACCCCCCCCCCCCCCCCCCGGCCTCGCAGGGCTGCAAAGTACGTGACCACGTGGTGTCACGGGCAAGTGGGGGAGGCCCTGGCGAAGCCGGGCCCAGTGCGCGCGTCCACCAGGACCTCCTGCTTCACCGCGACGCTGTGTGCGTGCCTTTCACGCCATCCGCCAGCAGGTGAGGGCACCTGTGCCTTGGGGGGGTAGGGCGGATGAGGTGGGTAACCCCAGATAACGATTCACCCACTGTATTCAATTGGCATGCCTATTGAGTGTGCAGGTGGTGCAACTGCACCGGGCCCACAGACCGGAGGGGCCCAGGCCCCAAGCTATGGAGGAGAGAAATTTAACGGGGTCCCCGATCGATTCTCTACGTGATCCACCAAGCCTTGCCTCCCAAGCACTGAATCACTGCACCCAGTTTTACACTCGTTCGTGTAAGAGAGCAGCTTGTGTCGTTGAAAGAGACTGGCTTTTAAACACGACGTAATGAATTCAAGGCCTTTTGTGTTTCCGCCTTCTCTTTACACGAAACGGCAGCGACTGGACCGCCGCGGCCGCCACGGAGGTAAAGAAGCACGATGTGGAGGGCGCTACCAACGTTGCGGGTTTAAAGAAAGTGGCAGATGTGGTAAGTCCTTCTCGTAGACTGAAGAGCAACTAAACTGACCATTGTCATATCGAGGGGATTGTCAGCTGTGGCAGGCAGGTCATTTTATTTGTGACTGATAAGTGACTGAGATGTGGGTAAGTGACAGAAAGAAAGAGTGAAGAGGAAGTGCTGATGTGGGATCGGGAGAAGAGATGTTTCATTGAAACAATTGAGAGAAGGAAAAAGATCTGCAGTGGCTATATTGTCAGCGGTGTAGGCTTTCTGAAGACAGCTCTCGGAAGGATGTTGAGGAAAAGGAGCAAGCGATAGGGTGCCGCAGTGGTGAGAGCTCCCTCGCCTGGTGTGTAGGAGGTCGTGGGTTTGGTCCCGACTCTGACACCTGTATATTTTCAGTTTGCATGTTCTCTCTCCCCGTGGTTGCGTGGATTTTTTTTCTCCGGGTCCTCCAGTTTTTCGCTCCACATTTAGAAACACGCGTTCAGAGTATTTGGCTGCTATACATTTCCGCACGATAAGCCACTTCGTTGAGCTATCATTTGTGGTCAGGTCGCTTCTGAAAAAGAGTTAATAGCTCAGTGGGCTTTACCTGGTAAAATAAAATCGCTTTTTTTAGATAGAGCAAGGGAGGGCCATTTAAGAAAGGGAGGAGGCGCGTGATGAAACAAAAAGGAAAGCGCTAGATTGGAGAGGGTGGCGGAAACTTGGACAACAAACCTGTCCTTAGACTGACAAATCAATGGTTTAGAGTTGTGATTTATCTAATTTCTGATGTGTTTATGCTTTAGACAAAAGACATGGGCGTATTTTTGCTTCAAAGATTGAAAACCTGTTGGCTTAGTGACACATCAATTTCATCAATTTAGATCACAGTATTCAAACTGCACGAAGGTTAATTTATAATTCATATACAGCAGTGTTTGATTTGGTTGACATTTGTATATAATTTTTGTGCAACAGCTGTTGATTGTATTTGTACGCAGTTAAAGGTCCAGGCCCTGCTTTCTGAGGATGATGATTACACGACGGGGTCGGAGGTGACAGATGATGAAGTTGGAGACGAGGAGGAGGTGCACAAGAAGAGAGGTCCAAGCAGTTTTTTCGTTCGATAACTTAAGTAGTCATGAACGTCAACACATTCGTCAGTAACACTGCCTCAAAACAGAAGACGTGTAAAGTGTTGTCTCTCACTATTATTCGTATCCACTCTTATCTCCCTGGCCTCTCCATTTATGTGCTGTGCAGAAGGACTGTTGCCCAAAACGTCGCCTGTTACATACTGTGCTTTTTGGGCCACAGTGTCATTTGATGAATGTGTTGTTATATTCTTGGTTCTTTTGGTAAAGTCACGTAGAAGGGAAATAATAAAACTAAACAATAAAATTCTCACAACCTTTCGACTGCAACACAAGCAATCATCCTCAGCAATTTTCTTGTTGTGGTTTTCACACCTGATGATGATTGCTTGTGTTGCAATCGAAACGTCGTGAGAATTTTATTGTTTGATATTTTTATTATTTTATTATTTCCCTTCTACGTGACTTCACCGAAAGAATCAAGAATATTAATTCCTGCAGTCACGAGAGCCTTTAATACGAAATAGAATGTGTTGTTGTTTTTTGTTGCTGTTGTTATTTGTACTCGTGCACCACTGCCAACTTAGCATCACAGCATCTAAACTCTGGAACTCGTTGCCCTTCGAGGTCAGGACTTCCGAGACAATTTATAAATCTTAAAATCTCGACCAAAAACATATACGTTTAAAATGGTTTTCTCCCTTTAGTTATTTTCAAACGTCTTCTTCACTTCTTATTTACTTGGTTGTTAACTATTTCGCCTTTCCATGCATAGCGCCCAGAGAACGATTGTTTAAGGGCGCTTTATGAATTTAAATCATTATTAATATTATAAAATAATGTACGTATGTTGAACTTCTTTCGCACCGTAGCCAAACGTGCTAATCGGAGGTGCGGCGGAAGGACAACAAACTAAACACAAAGAGCAGTTCAAAAGAAATGCATTTTCAATCGAGATTTAAAAGCGCAAAGCTCCAGTAGCTTCCTAATATGGGAAGGAAGAGCATTCCAGACGGCCACCGAAGTGCATCTAAACGCGCCACGCGATTACTTGACATTTATTGCTCTATTGATGATCTTTTCGATTACTTGACTAAATGGACAATGCGAAAATAGTTGCAAAAAGTCTCACCCCCACTCACCTCCTTCTAATGCTGGATGGACGACGTGGGAATGGGGATTTTCAGGGTTTTTTTTTCATTTTGTTAATTAATTGGTGATACTGCATTGCTACCTCTCTGGCCTCTCTATGTCCTGTGAAGGAAGGGCCTTGCCCGAAATGTCACCCGTTATATATATTTTTTTATTTGAAGGCCACAGAGTTATTGACAAATATGTTGAGTTTTTGCGTCTCAACTCGGGCGCTAAGACATTGAATCGTGTGCTAGCCATTACACCACGGCATCTCCCACATGCAACATGCTCATTGTAAAAAACATTGCTTCATATCTCTGTGATTTGATGCGTGTGTTGTGATGCATGCATCATGAGTATGCTAAGAGCTGATGACATTTTTTACGATACCTAGCCCAGAATCGCAGAGCGCAGTGCAATCATCTGTGTGTGTAGTGGCTCTTGACGCAAACGGCTACAGAGGAACCGTAAACCAGCATCTGCTAGTATAAATGTAACAAGGATGAGCGAAACTTCCCCTCTTTGCTCTCTAGGTAAGAAACAGGCCAAGAAGTCCATCAAAGCCAGGAAGAAAACCTCTCGCACGCCTCAAAAGAAAAGGTGCCAAGGCATTCCATGTGTTTGCTTTTGAAAGAATGTGTGTGAAGGTATAGCCCAGATTTGATGAATTCGGAATTGTTACCATTTGTTTGAGCTTACGTGTGAAAAAAAATCTGTTCTTTCATAGGTAAACCTGTTGAGCCCTTCCCCATTCAAGTAAGTAACCTGCATTTGCACATGTATTATGTAAACAAGTCGGCTTGCACTTGAGTGAATTTATATTGTTATTCAATCTCCATTGTAACTGATGCGACAAGGCTGGTGGTAACACCATGGCAGCCAAATGAGAGAGCATGCCTGGGAAGTTGACCACCACCATAGTCGAGCGATGAGTTCACGTGTCGGAGCGAGATGGATTGAGACGTTGCGGGAACACGAGGCACCATGATAAAATGGGGAGGCCTTCATACAGCAGTGGATAGACAATGGCTCATGATGATGATACCATCTCAAAAAAATTCTAAAAAAATTACGACTATGATGATAACATAGTTAACGTGGTAGAGTAAGCCAAAATAGTCAATGTGGAAGAGTAGGCCAAAACACCTTCTAGAGGAGGCTCTCTCGATTTTCCTCTGGTGGAGGCCATGCCACCAGCAGCGGCATTATTAATTTATTTCAGGGCTGCACCTTTACCTACCTATATATGATGGTTATACCTTGGGACACTTAGAAATTGTGTTTGGGGGGGGGGGGGGGGTTGGGGCACGGGGGGATGGGCGGGGGCAATGGGGGTGGGAAGTGAATTTAAAGAGGACTTGAACAGATCTTTCTTGGAGAGGAGGTGACATTCATATTCTTAGGTTTTTTCGGTAAAGTTACGTAGATAAAAAATTCAAATTAATTAATTAAAATAAAATAAAAATCACGACGTTTCGGAGGCAACACAAGCTTCCGTCTTCAGGTGGAACCGTCACAGCACGATAGCTGTATCAAGTGAGAGAAATTCCAAGAAAACAGTCCTTGTATATATACTGGAGGAGCCAAGGTAGGCCCTGGATATTATTTTTGTGAGGTTCGGTGCGGCTGAAGCACGCTGTTAGGAATGAGCCTTTGTTGTGTAAACTAGGTGCGGATGATGTAAAGGTGCGTTGTGGCATGGGTCTGCGGTGCGGGACGGGCAGCAACGAGAGGCGATGCTATTCGTCGTGTCGGACCCGTAACAACCGTAACGAGTAGTTCCCGTCTGTGTGTGGACACTCGCAGTGTGTGTGCGCAGCGGAAGAAGTGGGACGTGTGCCGCTCCATGAGATACAATCAGGACACCCAGCGTGAGGAGGGTACGCAAAGTCCCGTTACCACGCACGTAGCAAGTCATCAACCACCCACACCCCTCCACCCGCCTGTGCATTGCGACGGATCTTCACGATTGAATGCAAAAAACTATTATTTCCCATTAGTCTGTAATGTTTTATTGATATCGCCTGTCCTTGCGTTAGTCCAATGGTGATATTTTCATATCACTTGCAATGATTGTAATTGATTCTCATGCGCGATTTGACGCATGTCACGCAAGTGTAAGAATCGCTAACGGATGAATCGACGCATCGTTACACGCTTACCATGACGCACAGGCAACAGTTACAGCTTTTGTTCTTTCCTGATCGCTGGCAGATAACAAGCATCGCACACGCATGCACATTTGATGCAGTTCTGCATTTGGTCGTCGTGTTTTCTGATTAGTCGGAGGAATCCTACGGGTATACACTCGACCAGGGTTCGTTAACTGACGGCCCCCGGGCCACATCTAGCCTACAAAGGCTCTTGGAGTCACCCGCCAAGCTGTGGCCCACCTCGAGATGTTGGCCACCGAGATGTAGATCATGACTAATGAGCTGAAATAGAGGTAAACAAGAGATTGCGATGACAAGAGCTGTAGACAAATTATCATCTCTTCGTGAGATATACAAGAGGGGCATGAGAAAGCTGTAGATGAGACCTACATATTAGCGGTCACATGTACAGACGTTATGATGTCACAACTCCATGTTACCTCATAACACCTGTAAGCGGGATAGATGACATCATCGTTGGCCCGCCAGCACACGCTAATTGTATCACGTGGTCCGTGGAAAAAATGTAGCTGAATCGTGCTCTAGACCGTTCGCTCGAGTTATTTGTTTAGATGCAGAGTTGCTCGTGTTTGATGGTGGGCGTGTGTGCAGACCAGCGCAGGATGAACGACTTCTGCGCTTACCTCGCCAAGCTCCGCTGCAGTGAAGGCACCGATCGCGCCAAGACCAAGGAAGTTAAAGAGGTAACACGACAAAAAAGAGAAACGCCTCTTGTCCGCGTCGATACACGAGGTAATGCCTCTTGAGTTACAACTTTTGATTTCTTACTTAATGATTTCATCAATATCGTCAGGTAATTAAACGTTGCACAGAAAAAAAACGTGCATTAATAATTGCGTACACGACGACATTTCACGAAACGGACAACACGATTGTTTGTGGACCTAGTCAAAGGTAAAGGTGATTCCCTGAAATTGCCTGCTCACGCCACTGCCGGAAGAAGGGCCTCCATCAGAGGGAGCTCGAGATAAACTTCATTAGCGTATGTGTCCTACCCTTCCACACTGACCAGACATCTTGGAAGAGGTAGGAGTACGCACACTTTACCCAACCACACGTGTGACCTGCCGATCGATGATTAGGTACCTATTTATACTGCTGAGTGGACAGAGGTGGGGGCGGTGGTGAGGGGGGTTTAAGAAACTTGCCCATTGAGGTGGCGGAGTGACTCTGCGATCAGAGCGCTGAGCTGGCACTGCTGAGAATCCTGGGTTCATATGGAGGCAGCCGCTTGCTATTGGACAGAGTTCTCAAGTGGAGCGAGTTTATGGATTCAGCACGGTCACCGTTGTGCAAAAAAGCCATCGCATTCAATTTGCTTCTTCGATTCATTTGGCAAAATTTCTGTTCCGAGAATGAAAAACATTGGTCTTGCGACAGATATTTACTGTCTTGTGCCGAGCGGATTGGAAAGTGCTGCCCCCTACTGTGTTTACCAAAGCTCAGACGTAGCTCTGTGAAAACCACTTCTGTGGGCCGTTCTCTTAACACTGCTCTGTGGGAGATATAATTAGATTATTTGTCTCATGCCACGATTCCGATGACACAATCAGGATAAATGTGGAGGGGAAACTACGAAAATGAAAAAAAATTTAAACAATAACTTTTCTATTGCATCATCTGCCACGCCAGGAGATTAAATCGAACCGGTGACCTCCAGATTGCAAGCTTAATGTGCTAACAACTACGATATACTACAGTACTATCACAATATAACACCTTCACAGACATCCTGCTTATGAGTGGGCTACGCTGCCGTTCCCAGTACCCGGGTGGGATCTACATGAAGCTGGAGGCCCAGTTCCGAGCCTCTCTGCCATTGTCAAGGCCAGGCGGATCTTCGCAGCAGGTCGCAAGGTCAGGACAAAAACTCCGGACAGAATGTAACAGGTCATCGTATGTATATGCAGGTGATCAGTCGTACGTGCACAGGCCCTTGTCTCAACTGCTCGAGCGAAGCTACACTTTTAGCAAACCACCTGGAATCTGCCGGAAATTTCTAACACGCCGTCTGCGTCACGGCAGACGTTAAAGATCCAGAGATATTCTTTGAAGAGAAGGCCATGTTTGTCAGCATCACAGTACGCATTTTCCAAATTAAAGAAAAATACTCGCAAGTCACCTAATTTAGTAAAAGCACATCGCAAAATCTCCCCCCTACTGTGAAACTACCGCAGACTATACTCGTCCGTGACACTAAAATGCATTTGTGACAACCTCGCGCTGTGAGATTGTGTGCACGTATTAAATGTAATCACCATTTTAATTGGTGATTTGATCGTTTGGTGGCCACAGAGTTACCGTTTGCGCCTCCGTCGCCCCCAGGTTGAAGGCGCGAATCACCTCGATGAGAGGGGCGCAGTTATGAGGACGAACCGCAGGGGGAGCACGAAGGGAACTCATCGTAACCAAGTGCAGGTTTTCCGCGGCTGCTCTGTACGGCTGTTCGATGTGTTTTCGGGTTGTGCCGCACGTTATTCGGCACAGTGTCCGACGTTTCGCTCCCTGTGCCGAGAGCTTCTTCAGCCCCTCCAAACACATTGAAGAGCAACCACCAACACTCAGGCCAGACCTCGACTCGCACAGCTCAGCAATCGCTCACAGCGCCGATCCCTGCAGCAGTGTGGCAGGAAAACTTCTTTTGATAAATACATACGCAGCTTTTGTCAACGTTTTAAATACGGATTTTTGTTTTTACTATGATCAATATTTAACTAGAGTATGTGGTACTAGAGGAGCTCTGTAGAGCTCCTTTAGTGGAGGCCCTTCCACCAGCAGTCGCGCAAGTGAGCAATTGCAGGGCTGCACCTTTACGTTAAAAAAAATATGTTTAACGGTTACGGTATTCTAAATGGCGTATTTGGTTATAAGTATTTTAAAACCAAGGTTGTAGGAATGCTGCAGATACATGGGTTGTAAAACCAATTAGAACTAGTTTTGATATGGAGAGCTGACCTATGGACTAAAACTACTGTTATACATTGGAAATAAAGACTGAACTTCTTGTGAAGATTATGTATTGCTGTATTGGCAGATGAGAGTACAGTATGCATAAACCAAAGCTTTAGTGACTGTTGGTGTATAATTTATTTTACTAGGTGAGGGATACTGAGCTACGTAGCTCAACGAAGTGGCTTATCGCATGGAAATTTATAGCAGCCAAATGCTCTAAACGCATGTTTCTACATTTGGAGGGGAAAGCTAGAGGACCCGGAGAAAAATCCACGCGAGTTTGCATGCAAACATTCGAACATGCAAACTCCAAATATACAGGTGTCAGGGTTGGGATTGAACCCACGACCCCCTGCATACCAGGCGAGGTAGTTAATATCTCGCAAAATGTATGGCTTTTGTGTGACCGTTTGGCAAGAGTTCACTGAGCTAGTTGAGTCCTGTTGAGGCCACACACCTCTGGATAATGCCTGGGCATGTAGCGAGAAACCTGGATTCATCTAATACAATCGATTATCATGCTCATACATGCATCAAATTGTGCATGTGAATCGATATGATGTATGCAATATACTGTATATGCAAATGATATGCTGATGCTCACTAATGCCCAATTTGAAGAACAAAACTACAAACAAGATGGACTAAATTAAGAACCAAGAGAAATTAAGTGGTTAAAATAAGACAAGTTTAATCGATTCTCGAATATAATCGTGATGCCGAGTCGTGACATTTCATCAAATCACTCGCGTGCTGATGGGTTAATCATTAAATGCCAACCAATGCCTCGTGTTTTTAATGCCAAACGACTGGAGTGAAATAACCTCTAGGTTTGCCCCAACACGTATTGATCGCAATAACTGCTCTGCGACCATCAGTGGTGCAGCTCTTGTTGAGTCTGCAGGCAGTGCGACTGCGCTGTGGCTCACGGATGTGCCGAGGCGCTAGTTCTACAAGAAGGGTGGGGAAAGGAAAAATCGGACGGGGAGGTGGGCCTTTTCATTCCTTACTAACCACGCCGAACCACTGGGGAATAGACAAAACGCTAAATTCAGATTCCAAAAACACAGGATGAGATGTTACTATCCTTTGTGCAAGCACTTCCAAGAGTTCATGAACAGTGAGCCTGGTGAAATTTGTGGAGCGCATCGTCAGTAGTGAACCTTTGGTTCCTAGGAACATTTGGTTCCTAAGGCTGTTAACTATATTGGAGAGACTGTACACTCGACTAAAGGCCATGGCAAGCAAATCATTACTACTTGGGTAGGTTTTCGCAGCCGTGGTTCATGGCCCTCTGATATGTTACAAGTTGTGCCCCGTGTTCTTGGGCATGACGTCCAATGTTTCGGTTCCCGAAGAAGCTCCCAGCACATAGCGCGAAACGTCGGACATCATGTTGAACCACACGTGATACAACACGTCGGAGAACTTACACGCTCATCGTCGTTCACATTTGAACAACGGTAAACTTGGTGAAGACTTCTAAAAAAGGGGGGGGGATGGTGTGATAGTGCTGTTGAAGTGTAATGAGTTGACTTGCTTCAGTGGAAAAAGGAAGAGCCACTTTCCGTTCGCACCCGATGGTACAAACACACACACACAAGACGCATGCAGAAAACATTTTAAAGACTGGAAGTGAGAAAACCCGCAACAGCGCCACCGCCTGGTTAGTGTGTAACATTGCCAGTGGAAGCGACATGCAGGCCTGGCGGACCACACAGGCGCTTGCCAATCTGTCTCAGGGTCCCATCGGTGAACCACGTCAAATATTTCTACGAGAGAAATGCATTCGTTCCCTTTCATGTGTTACAGGCACCATGTAATCTAAGTGCTGTATTGTCACTGCGTCCGGACCTTGTCCCTGTGCAAAACGACCTGCACTCTGTTAACATTTTTCAAGTTTGCACTCCTGTTTGCTCACCATATATTTTTGACATTCCTGGATTGCTACACTTTTTTTTCGAATGAGACTTATTTAACTGTTTTTTTGTTTCTACTGTGTTAAAATTGTTTACGTGATGTTTTAGAAGTTATTTGTTAAGGCAAGTGAAAGCAATTTTTAGTTTTTTTTATTATAAATTATTCAATTTCACTGAGCTGAGCGCACCGAGTTAAGCATTTTGTAAATGCTTTTAGAATGAAGCTTTTAGCAAAACATCACTGGCATTTACACCCACGTGCAAGGCATTGTATTTAACGTTTGTTATTTTTTAAAATAATTTGAAAGCAATCCATTGTCAACAATAAAGTATATTATGCACTGATTGTAATTTCACTGTGGTTTGCTGTATTAATGGAACAAAAAATTAAATCGTGATATCAGCGATGCCTCGCTTGTCCCTGTCCTTACATTTTAGTGCAGTACTTTTATTCTCGTGGCTGACACTTAAAATATTACGGTGAATCTGTGGGTGCAAACCCATTTAGGCAGTCCACTGCTGGGTTAATGCCTCCCCACACCTGTGTTGGGAGTCGGGGTTGATCCATGCTTCGCCAAGCAGCTCAGTGCAGATTGTTGACGACGGAGAGAACAGTGGTGGAAACACAGAAGTACGGTACAACAATTGATGTTGCTGTACTACCCGCGATGTAGCCCTACCAGGCTCAAACCTATCCAGGCTTCCAAAATCTGGCATATTCTGGTCAATTTGGTCATGGATTCTGACTAAATTACAACCTGCCCACTGACCAAAAGTGGGTCATTTCTGTCCAATTAACACCGGCACTTAATATCAAGCAGCCCACACAGTGGGTTGTTCCCAACTCATACAGTACACGTGGCACCTACTCACAGCCACAGATTCACACCTGATCGCACGTGATTCAGATCTGCCCATTGAACACCTCACCTTCAATACAGATGGCTCACTTTACATACCTAGCTGACATCGGTGGCTCATGCCTAAACACACGTGGTGGAGAACTGTGAAACTTGTCTAACCTTTGTGGCTCACATGTCTTGAAAACACGTGACCAAACCATAACATTTTTCAATTTAAAGCTTTCGTGACTTGCAGGGATTCAACTTCTTGGTTCTTTCGGTAAAGTCACGTAGAAGGGAAATAATAAAAAAAATACAAATTTTACATAATACAATTCTCACATTGAGAATTGGCTTGTGCTGGGAGCAACGCTTGTGGCCCATAACCCACGAAAACCAAACCTGGCTCAGGCATAAAGAGCCACCAGAGCCGTGGCTCACACCAACCCAACACACCAGGCTCATACGTGTGGGTTGAGGTTTATTTTGGCACAGAAAAAATCCCATTGGCCAAAAAATTCTTGTTTTCGATCGGGACCTGGTTTTATAAACCTGGTTACGGCAAAAGAAAACGCGAACGAAACAATCGAAACGCAACTGTACATGCCCAAGTTGCGAATGGAAAAGTCGTGCAACACGCAACACGGTACAATCGACACAAGAAATACAAGAAGTGCAAGGCCTAATGAAAAGAACACAATATACAAAACTACTGAAAGTGTGCAAAGCAGAGCGATCAATTCCACGTACATTTGAAATAAAATCGGAGGCCCGGGAGTGGATTTAACATTGGACAAGGATAGTGTGATGATACACCCGGGATGCCAACACAACAAAGCAGCTTGGCCGACGCTGTTCATCCCTGACCCCCCACTTGAACGCACACACCCCCACATAGGGCCTCGTGGGGATGTCACCTGGCCTACAGGTTTTCACACAGGAGCCCTCCTTGTGGGGCACAGCAATTTTTTTACAATTTAAAAAAAATTTTGCTGTGGTTTTCACATCTGATGATGATTGCTTGTGTTGCAATCGAAACGTCGTGAGAATTTTATTGTTTTATTTTTATTATTTTATTATTTCCCTTCTACGTGACTTTACGGAAAGGACCAAGAATAGAATACCTTTATTGAAATCGAGTCCTAGTGACGCGACCGGCGGGAATAAACTTTATTGACAGCGAGTCCCCCCCCACCCCACCGAGGGGCTTCGCTGTCAATAAAGTTTATTCCCGCCGGTGGCCGTGACGCGCGCCGGAAGCGGGCCGCGTGGCTAATCAGCTGATCCCGCGCGCGCTTCCGGTCTCCCCCCCCCCCCCCCCCAGCTTCCGGCCCCCCCCCCCCACGCCTCGTCACCAACTCCTCGTCCTGGATCGATTCCCGTAATGTGAATCTAATTTTACGCGAGTTCATAGATCCACGCATTATAAAAAAAAATGTACACACATTTTTTTCCATTTTAATACGGTCCATATCGTTGATACACAAATCCTTCAGCTATCGCGCGCTGTAAAAAAAGTTTTTCTACAAGCACCGCAATGGTAACAATAATAACATTTCCGGAATCGATTCAGTGGAATCGTCGTGCGAGTCGCGTAATCGTGGAGTCGGCGAAGAGTAACATCCGTAAGTGCAGCTTGACACATCGCTGCCGATAGCTCCGATGTAACTAGAATCACCAGTTAGTGTTTAAAACATTTACATTTTCTTACATCAGCTGCCTTGCTGTCTCCGCTGTGTCCTGAGCAGGTCGGCCCACGGAATAAAGCGATGTGCACGGGGCGGACGAGACGAGGTGGAGGAGGAGGTGGTGATGGTGATGATGGTGGTGGTGGAAGAGGAGGATGGGTGAGAGGAGGAGTTCATGTGAACTTCGCCGGGGGTCTCTGTCTACTCGCGCTCTGCGGGACAGCCCGGGCCGGCATCCTCTCGGACGACGTGCCATTCCACATTACCTGGCCGGGACACGAGCTGACGTTGGTGGGTGGCGCTGTTGTTACATGTATATTACAAGCAGACACGGTACACGTATTAAATAATGTGTATACATGTACGGACAGACACGCGTATCGTGTGTACATGTATCGACACGCATAACACACACGTGTGCAATGGCAAGTGTACGTGTCTACACAGCGCAGTTGTACGTGCATTGACATGCAAAATAATTTCTACATGCATAGACGCACGGCAAGATCTACACACGTGTACCACACGTGTACCACCAAATGTCATTCACCGTGGCGGCAGCCAAGGGATGTAACGCGTCCGAGAGTACGGTCCAACAAGGAGACTTGGAGCGATGACAATCGGTGCGTGGGCAGGTGCTGGGTGGATTAGTAACAGCGTGAGATCGTGATAGGTGGTGGTGGCTGGATGAAGAAGCCTCCATCCGGCAGTGGATGGACCATGATCTGGTGATGATGAGGCATTCAAAAAAAACGTGTTCGGATCGGCTAAGCACCCAACATTTGCCCTCTCTAAAACGTACACAATGAGGCATTTATGGAGACACCAATTACATAGGGGAAAAATATGGAGCAATTATACGCAATTTTACTTCAAAGTCTGCCACCAGCTTCATTACACGTAGCGCCTGTTATCACTGGCCTATATAAGATATTATACCATCACAATATTCAATCTGCGGTTAAGTTAAACGTAAGTGGGTCCATGAAAATCAATGGTGTATCTATAGAGGAATCAACCTGTACGTACATAGAGCCATGGATAGAGAGAGTTCACCTTTAAACTTAAGGCTTGAATGGTGCTGGCAAACGGGAAGGGGAACGGCTGGGATTTGTGAGCATATGCAAAAAAATATGCATCATTGTGACTGTATAGTGAGCTGTGCAGTACAACACTAGACGGGATTATGAGATGATGGACAGAGTGGCAACCAAAGAAGGCTACTCGCCTGAGATGATGGTGTGCCCTGCGGAGATGGAGTGATGAAATAAGCTCATTTGGAGGAGCTAGATAAATTGTTGCATCGCAAGACCGTGAGAGATGGGGATGCCTTCATCCATGCTAATGATAATGAATGGCGATGGAAAACTGGAGAGATTTGAGATGTGGGCATAGCATCACATGTAGAAAATCAGTTTTACAGAAAGAGCAATGAGGAAGTGCTCGAATGGGTCCAGAAGGAAATAAGTCTTAATTGGAAACATTGAGAGCGTGCATACGATCTGGATTGGGCGTCTTGTCATAAGTGAATGCTTGCTAAAAAAAGTTGTGGAAGTATTTTGGGGGAAAAGGCCAAGAGGTAGAAAAAGGAAGGCGTTTGCATAACAACTTGAAGAAAGTGTGGAGGGGGTGGGGGACTTATGGCAATGAAGAGAAAAGTATGAGATGTCGACCGAAAACATGGTCTTATGCAGGAGAACTTGAGGAGGCAATGTAACGACATTGTTTCCATCCACAGTCGGCATTTGGACATTGTGCTTGTTTTAAATGAATGCCGTACAGCTTCCAGTAGGTTCCGCGAAAGTTAGAACCACGGACACTGGAGGACTCCCGACCCCCAATGCCAATGATAATCCTAATCAATATTTCCATCACTGAATTGAGGCCCAAGTTCGATTGTCCCCTTTTACGATTGTCATAATGAATCACTCGGGCATCAAGAGTACAAAAAGACAATAATACAGAAAGAGTACTGCATGGATTAGCGAATGTATGTATGCACGTAAATGACAGCATTCGAATTGTTAATTAAAGTAAGTGGCCTTGGGAAGAACATGTCACGATAATAGATGGGACATGGTCAAGAATAATGATGAAGTGACAGCCAAGAGATGGAACTCATTCGAGAGGTTGTCCACCAAGGAGTTGACGCAATGAAATCAGCTCGTGTGCAGACGCTAGGTGGATTATTATATTGCATAATTGAGATAGATGTCAGCAGCTTGGGCAAGCCTTCATGCAGCAGTGGATTGACTGGCTGATTGTAATAATGTCACCCAAAGAGTGGAAGATGGTGTCATATGAATGGGCCTCTATAATCTGTCCAATGGGAACACGTGCAATGGATTATCCAAACTTACAAAAATATTTCTCACTACTTCAGTATCCTCAAATGTATTAACCATGTTAATGCAATGCTTTAATATTACAGCCAACGTCAGGTGCGTTGTACCGCGATGAGGATTACATCATCATGACGACGCAAGAAAACGAGCGGTACAAGTGCATGTTGCCGTCGGTGGAGAGGGCAGACCAGGTAACTCGCACCCGAGGAGCAAAACGATCATGTCCATCTTTCCCAGCTCGCAGCAAACTGTTGTCACAATCATATCACTTCTTTGATCATCATCAACAGTGTTCCATGTATTCCCCATCATGTGAAGCTGTGAGTCTAAATACTTTAGTTTCCGTATGTCTATTATAGTGTACAGCCCTCATGTTTTAAAATTCACATTATGTAATTAAAATAAAATCCTCCTGTCTGGTTGCGTGCTTCCTCGTGAGTGGTAGGTAATATTAGAGTGACTCTTTGATATGTTTTTGGGTTGTACCGTGAGTAGTTCAGCATGATCTCTTGACATTTTGCTCCACATGCTGGAAGCCTCTTCAGTTAAATTTCTGAAAATGCTTTGGAGAGTTCAAGGGAATCGACAACCAACCATGAAGATCTACGCAGTCGTAATACTCGAGTAGAGGTCGCGAACGGGTTTTGATTCCTTATCCGTACCCGTACCCGGCCGCACCAGGGTCACAAACGGGTACCCGTACCTGGCCGGGTAGGGTACGGGTACCCGTACCCGATACCCGGCCGGGTACGGGTAGCGGGTATCGGGTAGGGTACGGGTATCGGTTACCCGATTGCGACCTCTGGGATGAAGCCATGTTGCAGGTGCGGGTGGGTTGATTCTAGGAACTTGAATTGTGAGAAGAAACAAGACGTTGGGAAATGAGTGACAAACGGTTACTCACCAGTGACTCACGGCCTACCCGTACCCGCACCAGGGTCGCAAACGGGTAGCCGGGTATCAGGTAGGGTACGGGTATCGGGTACCCGATTGCGACCTCTGTACTCGAGTGAATTTGTGATTTTCTTTTTTCCAGGATGACGAAGAGATGGGAAAGGCTCCCGACCCAGACGTGCTCTTGGATCCGTTGTTTAAGCAAAACAGCTGCTCCTATCGGGTATGGGGACCTCGAGGCCACTTAAATTTATTTTTGGACGGTGAAGCGGAGCCTTGTCTGTTTATATTTCAACGGTAATAGCTGTTCCCCAAAGGCAACCAAAATTATCATCATTATTTTGACCTTGACTTGGTACGGAGATCACACACACACACACACTCGAGAATGTACCATTTATGTCACGCAATAGCATAACTAAAAAATATTTGCACGTAACTCTTGGTCCAGTGCACAGGCAGCGGAAATGTTAACAACAGCTTTTGCAGCTACTTCACAGCAAATCCATCAGACAAGTGGAGCTTTGGGCCATGAATGGGATCATAAATATAAGATTTTGTTGCACCTTACTTAGGGGTGGAGCGGGAGTGGAATTGGATACGCACCACACTCTTAACCTGCCCACCTGAGTTTGATTCCCAGTCACGGCTCACATCAGTGTCATTAGATCCCCCTCCCCACCGCAACCCCCTTTGAACCCACATTGTTCAGCTTGATGAAGTATTGTCAAACTATCCTCACAACTGATACGGCATGTAGGAGGCCTTTGTCCATCAGTGGATTGAAATATAGCTGAACATTGTTATTATTGGAAGTTCAGAAGAAGTCTATTTCCTCATTATGTATGTATGTTGAACTTCTTTCGCTCCGTACGTAGAAAACCTTGCTAATCGAAGGTGTGGGGGATGGACAACAAACTAAATGCGTGAAGCAGTCCTGAAGAAATTAGTTTTCAATAAGTGAACCTTATGGCGGGACCCCGGGCTCCTCAATAAATGGAAGTCAAAATCGTTCTTTATTTTTGGCGACTCCGTCCCACCGCGCACATAAACGCCGCGACCCACCAGAAATCAATCCATTGCCAAAATTGCCGTAGTCATAAACAAAACTTTGAAACTTTGATTAACGCATCGTGTAGAGCTCGTCGAGAAGAATAGATTGCCGTATCGTTCGCCTTCAGCAGACATAAAATGATGTCGCAACGCAGTTTATGCGAGAGCCGGGAGCTTGTGGGTCCCCGGGGTCTTGCCATGAGGTTCAAGTGAAGCCCATTGAGCTTTGAAGTTAATTTTTCAAGGACGACTCGGCCAGCAGACGTCGGCAACAGCAAAGTGTTATACTTGCATTAACAAAAAATAATGAAAACAATGTTATCTTAAACATTGACATGTCACAGTTATTATGTTCGGTTATCTCTACACTTTCAGAAAGGTATGTCCTTGATGTGTACAGTAACCTACTTTAGTTGAATCCAAAGTGGCATGCAAAATGCTCTTGAGAAATTCACTGTCGGAGTGACAAAGTGTGTAAATGCATGTCGGTGAAGCGTTTGGTTGTTACATCTCCCCTGAGGCAGGACTTTTTGAATACTTGCCACCAGGACGGCATGCTCTCTTGAATGCTGCAAGTTGATCTGGTTTCGCGTTATTGACAGCGCATGCCTTACCCCGTGCCTCTCTCTCCGGGCAGATTGAGCCCTACTGGACTTACGAAGTTTGCCATGGGCGACACGTTCGCCAGTACCACGAGGAGAAAGAGTTTGGGCAGGTCGGTAACACACTTTCATCTCACGGCTCTTAAAGAACATTTTTCTAACATTGACCCCCAAAGGGTCATAATAAGTGCAAATAGTTTTTATTGTTATCGTGATGAAATGCTGTTATTGGTAACCATGACAATGAGTAATGTTTTGTTTTATGTAGCGTTGTGATTTGTGCAGATTGCCCAGGCTCAGGAGTCCTATGTACGTTAAGATGTTTTCAGCCAATTTGTTATTTAGTTCTGATTTAGTCCTGAGCTTTTGTATTTGGCATGATTTTCATTGCAAACATCAACACCGTTTACGCTACACAGAACATACATTTTAATTAAACAATTTTATTTTTAATACAGTTTTCACCAAAAATTGCTTCATCTGTAAATGGTATAATAGTGCGTTATGTGTCTTTGGTATTTCATTTATGCAATTTGAGTGACATTGTTTTACAGAGAGTGACTGTGCAAGAATATTACCTGGGATACATTGCCAAACATGACCCAGAGCTGACAAAAAGTAAGAAACAGTCGTTGCTGGCATTCAACCAGACAATTGAGAGGTGGCTTGGAAAAATTTGGTAACCCACATTTGTACTTTTTGGTTGATGACTTATGCTGGCATCTCTTTAACATAAAACACTTTTCTTTTTATCGTATCTTATCTTCACGGGTGGATGCTCAGCAGAATTAGTATTCCACTCGCTTCACTGAATTTTCCCACTCTCAACGAAAGCCTGCTTTTTGGGCAAATCAACTTTTTTGGGCACTGCCGTGCAGGTGTTCACGGTTGTGCTGTGTACAGCTCTCCGATGTGGTTGTGCCGTGTGTTCGACGTTTCACACTCGAGGTGCTGGGAGCTCCTTCGAAACGTCGGACATCATTGCGAGCGACACGCATTTCCACCCGGAAACACACCAGAGTACTTTTGTGGGTTGTCAAGTTTTTCAAAAATACCCCTTCCAGTTTGTTTTATGTTTCTTTTAATATTATCCATGAGTCATGTATATATTCATAATCGCGCAAAGCCAGCTGTGTAATGTGTGCAGACAATGTGACTGGATTATTTTACTCTCCTTTATTCAGACACCGAAACACCAAGCAAACATGAGTATACATCAACAAAGAACAATGATGTGAGTAACATTTTATGATGGACGATGCCTACCGAGTACCCTGTCATTATTAATAGGCAGCATCCCAACTTGCCACACGTACCGGTGTAAGCGGTAGGCTGCCGATTCTTAAACCATTTTACCACATACTGATTTTAAAAGCAAATATTCCGTCAGGACAATTGTCCTTCAAGAAATCCACGAAATGGAATGCTGAGCTTTGAAAATCGATGTGCCGTCAATTGGTTTTAAACATTTACAGCATGTCAATCAAATCTGTAGGATTGGCAGGCGTGCAGTATGCTACCGATTGAAATGCCACTAACCCTATTTTCACTCTTTGGTTCTTTCGGTATAGTCACGTAGAAAGAAAATTAATTAAATAATAGAATACGACGTTTCGATTTTCACGTAAACTACCGTGCTCTCCAAAACATCGGGAAGGTTTTCAGTGTCAGTGCCTATAGCTGTATATTTATTTTGGCAAGTTGTCAACAACATACTCTCAAAGAGACAATTGTATTTGTCATTACAGCGTTACGTTACAGTGCAAGCATGTAGGGTGGCGAGATGGTAACTACCTCACCTGGTATACAGGAGGTCGTGAGTTTGATCACGACCCTGACGCCCGCTGTATATTTGGAGTTTGCACGTTCACCACCCTGTGGTCGCGTGGATTTTTCTCCGGGTCCTCCGGTTTTCCTTCCACATTTAGAAACATGCGTTTGGAGTATGTGACTGCTATAATTGTCCACGTGATAAGCCACTTCATTGGGCTTTATCGTTTGTGGCCAGGTCGCTTCTGAAGAAGAGCTATATAACTCAGTGGGCCTTATCTGGTAAAATAAAAAATAATTTCTTTAAAGTAGTTACATTTTATGTGCTGGATGAGTCCGTGTCAGTGAGTGCATTTGCATATATAGGGACTCGCAAACAGCACTGGCTGAGCAGTCTGGTCAAGGCTATATGGGGGGGTTCATATTCTTAGGTTTTTTCGGTAAAGTCACGTAGGTAAAACATTAAAATTAATGAAAATAAAATAAAATAAAAATCACGACGTTTCGGAGGCAACACAAGTCTCCGTCATCAGGTGGGACGGAGACTTGTGTTGCCTCCGAAACGTCGTGATTTTTATTTTATTTTACTTTCATTAATTTTAATGTTTTACCTACGTGACTTTACCGAAAAAACCTAAGAATATGAATCCTTGCAGTCACGAAAGCTTCAAATCTAGAATTATATGGGGGGGTTTTTGTCTTTGTGTTGTTTAAAAGGAGGCTTCCTCAATGGAATAGCCATGCTGGCTTGTTTCCTTCTGAACTTATAGTTGCTGCACTTTTTAAGTGGGATTTATGGGTTTCCTCGTTAAAGTTCATGGATCTAGCCGTGTTCTTTCAAACTATTTTGTTGTGATTTTGCTTGGCTTTAAAATTAGAAACAGACAGCGCGCACATTCCTGTCTCGCCGAGATAATTTAATTACGCTGGCAAGCGATCTCTGGCCTGCTGAAAAACATCTACAGCCAGTTGACGTGTGGCACGTGCACGCTCGCGAGCAATATTGCTGCGTGTCAACTTGCGGTAAATTTTAATGCAATTAGTAACAATTTATCATTTAATGACGACTAATGATTCCATTGAGGATCGAGTTACCGGGGCTGTCGCGTGGCTCAAGTTGGTTTTACCCCCCCGTTGTATTGAAATATACGAGTGTGTGGATGCTGGTGTCCGTAATCTTTCACCGAAATCCGGTTTCAGATTAATTTGTTGGACTTTGTTGTGGTCGTTGTTGGATTCCCATTGTTGCTAAGGGCTTCATGTTCTGGCCATGGTTGGTGGGTCGTGGGTAACAAGTGTGTAATGACACAGGCAGGATGTCTGTTTCGTTTGTGTAAACAAAGGCTGCATTAAAACATTGGGGCCGAAGGCTACGATCGGCCGTTGCACTGAAAGGAAATGTCATTTTACATGGATGAACTTGGCTTCCTATGCATACATTCTATATTCATGACAGACTTGCTGTCTGTTCACTATGTGTTCATTTGCAACACAGGTGTGGATTTGTTACCCATAACTCAAGAAAGACAAAGAATTATTTTCCATGTGCGGTAGTAAGTATACCTGATTTAAATGCCTGGTCTGAGTCAGTTGAGTGGTTCTAAGGCCTATCAACTGTGTCCATCCTGTGATGATTGTCGATCTGATCGGTGTTTGCTACCAGCATTTGCTTGCTAACAGGCTATACAATGGAGAGGTGGTTGGGGGATGGGTTCTTTGTCTCTATTCAAGCACAAACTGACGTGTGCGGGTATGCATGCGTGTGCCACGTTAGATCCCGATGAAAAACATCGACGGGCAGATGACGGCCTACTACCCGGTTGAGATGGGTGACGGCACGACGTGCGGGCTGCGTGGCGGCGTGCCGCGCCGCGCCTCCGTCCTCTACGTGTGCCACCCCAATGCGCGCCACGAGGTTCTCTCCGTGGCCGAGGTGACGAGCTGCGAGTACGAGGTGGTCGTGCTCACGCCGCTGCTGTGCCGCCACCCAAAGTACAAGTGAGTGTCCACGAGTTGTGTGTGTGTATGTGTGTATGTTGAACTTCGCTCGCACCGTACGTAGCCAACCGTACTCAACGGAGTTGTGGAGTTCATTCGGCCTAGCACCTGTCGCCCATCTCCCCATCCGCAGTGGTGGTGGTGGTCATCATTGTGTAAATTTTTTCTTCACAATCATCAGTAATTCTAACCTTAAGTTATTGAATGTGGATCAGGAACAAGTAGATGGGGGAAAATGAGCAGAACGCAGCACTTTTGGAAAATGTAACTCAATAATGCAGACACTTTTAATTCTAACAACATGAATCTCTCCATTTTACTGATTTTTTTTTTCCAGCAAGTGCAGGCTATGACATATGAATCATTAATGTTGGCCACTCACAGAGATGGTAAGAGGTGTGACACAGCGAATAGAGAGAGGTGCGTGCTCAGTATTAACGAGTTTCAGGAGGTTCCTGCTCTGGAAAGTGTCCCCAATCTATATGCGATCACTTGGATTAACCGGCTTTTGTGCTACATTGCAGGTTCAAGACGACGCCCATCAATGACATTCACTGCCAGTCGTTCCCCGGGTCTCCTGCGCGGCCTCAAAGCCTCGACCGCATGGAGCAGGAGCAGAAGGAGAGCAGCCTGCCCCGCGACACCTTCCAAAGGACCAGACAGGTCGCCAGCTAGGTTGTCACGGGCTAGGGGTCAAGGTCGTTGTGGTTTAGGGGTAAGGGTCGTTGTGGCTTAGGGGTCAAGGTCGTTGCGGATTTAGGGGTCAAGGTCGTTGTGGATTTAGGGGTCAAGGTAGTTGTCGGTTAGAGGTCAAGTTTGTTAAGGGTCAAGATAGTTGTGGGTTAGTGGTCAACGTCGTGGTTTAGAGATCAAGGTCGTTACGTTTTAGGTATCAAGTTCATTACGTGTTAGGGGTCAAGGTCATTACTTTTTAGGGGTCAAGGTTTTCACGGGTGAGGGGTCGCGGTCGTTACGGGTGAGGGGTCAAATCTGCTTCTCAGGTCTCCTCCCAGGTCACAAGACCCTCCTTTGAACTGCACGAGCCAGGTGGAGCTTGTGAGGGTCTTGGGCCAAGCCTGGTCAGCCGTCATTGTTGTAATTTTCATCGTCACCATTATTATCGAGATCATTGATCATGATCCACGTCCTCTGTTGTCGTCATTCTTTGTCTGTTTAGCTCTGGGCTTCTTCGTCTAATTTCGCGTAACACTTTGCTGACTTTGGACCTTCTTCTAAAATGTAATTTACATTGGGTCATCTTTACAAGAGTTATTGTGACCCACGCCCGCTACAGACAGGCACACCTAGACAGAGATAACACATTAACGCTTTCGACATCCGGTGCCTGAGTGCGGCAAGGAAGGCAAGCGTTGGAGTTAAATCACTGCGCACAACTCACGGTCATCTTCTCCGCTGCTTTAGGCCGTGCAGGAGAAATCTGCCACACCCGACTTGGCGATTAAGGCGGCTGAGCAGGCCCACAAGCATCGTGCCACGGCACAGGTTGGCGGGCAGAGGACGATGACGCTCATCTCGTCTGTGACCGACGAGCAGCTTCTCCGAGCGTTCCTGGCCGGATCGCACTGCTTCCACGGGGTAAGCCCTCGCGAACGCACGCACGCACGCACACGTGTGTGTGTGTGTGTGCAGCGGGGAGCGGTAGTGTAGTGGTTAGCGCGCCGCGCTACGGACCCGGCGACCCGAGTTCGATTCCCGCTCACGGCCTACACAAGTGACGATTTTTTGAACCCAGTTCTGGGCCTCTCCCATAGGTCGACTCAGCCTCAAATAAGTACCTGGTGCGGTGTGTAAAAACATCACCACTGGGGAGGCAAAGGTGGCCTGGTGTGGTGCTGGCCACCCACTGCCTCATGTGCCGTGCCGGCGTTCATAGGTGCTCGCTAACGGACAATTTATAAAGCTAAATGATAAGTAAATTATGAACTATTAAATGTGTAGCCGATCAAAATGTACAGTGTGAATTTTACCTGCGTTCGCATTAATGAGAGGATGCCTATAATAGAGGTAGGGCAATGAAGTCGGCTCGTGCGCAAACAGCAAACGGATTCTTGCACTGCGAGAACGTGGGAAAGAACTATGGGTTGGAGAGGCCTTCGATCAGCAGTGGCTAGATCACAGCTGATGATGATGATGATTTGACGGTGATGCATTTGCAATACATTTCAGCGTGTGAAATGTTTACCGACGCCTGTTTTCCTCCTCTGTCACAGGGCGTCGGGTGGTGGAAGTACGAGTTGTGTTATGGCAGGCACGTGCATCAATACCACGAGGTTTGTGTTGCCTCTTACCACCACCACCACTACCACATCACAATCACGCATGGCTTGAGGGGCATCATTGTATACGGACTGTATGCATGTATCGGGAGGTGCAGAACTGTCAGCAGCTCGATTGAAACACGAGTGTATTTTGTTTAACCAGGTGAGAATTCAAGACCATGAGCCTTTCATTTACAAGAGTGATTTGGGGGCATTAGGCTGCCAGTATGGTGGGGCGATGATTGCTTTGTACAATCCCAATTGAGCTTTTTGTGCGTAATTTTCAAATTTTTGACACGGACGCTGGCACTCATCGTCCTACTCTCGCTCGTGATGTCAGGGGATCTTTAACGTCCACTGTGAAGCCGATTGCGTGTATTGTTACGGTTATTACACCCGCAGTAATAATGAGGGTGGCCGTTAGATTCCATTCGAAGCATAAAACCCTGCAACAATGCGGCGATTCTGCGCATAAATAACTAGCAATTTACCTTGAGGCAATTTTCTAAATAGAAGTATGTAAGTGTTTCACTGACCTGAGCAAGTGAGTGATCGGGTGGGTGAGCGAGCGAGTGAATTGTAAGGTAGGTGAGTAAGCGGATGAGAAAGTGAGTCGGCAAGTAAGTGGGCAAGTTGGTGAGCGAGCAAGTGGGTGCGTGAGGAAGTGAACAGACGAGCGAGTGGGGTGATTGAGTGAGCGAGTGCATTGGCGAGCGAGCAGGTGACTGAGAAGGGGGGAGTCGGTAAACGAGGTGAGCGAATGACACTGCTTTCGCGTGTCACGTCCGCACGTGATCAGGAGAAGGATGGCACGAGAACGGTCATCGTGGTCGGCACGTGGAACAAGGAGGAGCACGAGGTCTGGGCCAAGGGAAGCACCCCCCGTGCCTACCAGCGCGCAGCCGACGGCACTCTCAAAATCAAGTACGTGGACCGTGCTCCGATATTGAGTAAGTTGTTGGGGTATATCTTCTTGGTTCTTTCGGTAAAGTCACGTAGAAGGGAAATAATAAAATAATAAAAATAAAACATAATAAAATACAATTCTCATGACATTTCGGCCACAACGCAAGCTGCGGTCGAAACGTCGTGAGAATTTTATTTTATTAAGTTTTATTTTTATTATTTTATTATTTACCTTCTACGTGACTTTACCGAAAGAACCAAGAAGATGAATCCCTGCAGTCATGAAAGCCTTAAATCGAAATTTAACCGCCACTGTTGGGGTATAATTGAACTCTTAAACTATTTTTTTTTATTTTACCAGGTCAGGCCTCTACTGAGCTATATAGCTCTTTTTCAGAAGTGACATTGCCACAAATGGTAGCTCAACAAAGCAGCTTATCACGTGGAAATTTAAAGCAGCCAAATACTCCAAACGCATGTTTCTAAATGTGGAGGGGAAAACCGGAGGAGAAAAATCCGCGCGACCATAGGGAGAACATGCAAACTCCAAATATACAACTGTCAGGGTCGGTATCGAACGCACAATCTCTATCAAAGGTGTAATTTCGCCAATTTATGTTAAAATACAAATGTAATCTGATTGTTTTAACTCCGTCAGCTGGTAACACTTGACAACCCACTCTAATCACGAGTGGCTGTCCAGATCAGAACCCTGGGACCTCAGTGGGTGCCAGCCCCCAGTGCACTGACCCTCCAGAACCTCCTGGCTACCTCCTTTTGGTGAAGGACCTCACACCTGTTTGTTTTCCACTGTGCAACTGAGCCATACCGGGGCCATGCCGAGCCAGCCTGATGCTCGGTTCAGGAGGCACCAGCTTGTTTTGTCCACCGCAGAACCCGCTGACGTCACGCGCAGCGAGCGAGTTGCATTATATGATGAGAATGATTCACCCCCACTGCCTTGCCTTCGGTTGTCTTGTGTGGTCAGTTTCGGGGTTTGGTTCTGGCTCTTATAGCCAAATCGCCAGTCGTAATCACCCTTACCGTGTGAGTGTGGCTCAGATATACCAGTCAAAGAGTATTAACTGCATGTGGACATTACCCTACCCCATGGCGATGACTGATACATTACCACGTTTTGTTCCTGCAGATCCGTGTCACATTTTTATGGCCATGGGGATTTGTGCGACATTAACGGGAAGCCCAGACAAGTTATCGTCAAGCTGAAGTGAGTCGCATAACTCCTGGCCAGGTTACATGGTAATATTAGTAAAGGTGAATAATGTCTTTGCTCCTCTACTGCCATTCTCTGCTATACTTTAAAACGAATCGTGAAGAGGTCATCGTATTTCATGGCATTCGTGACCACACCGCACCATGGGTTGTGTCTGCTACACCTTGTCGCTGTTGACAAGTTCATTCTTACTTTCAAGGTCCGCTCTGCAGGTCTCAGCACTTCTTTTTACACAATAAACACGTCCTTCAAAGACCACTCGTACAGTCTCATCACCAACAGCGTTTGGCTTTCGATCTCTTCCTCTGGTCAGCAACCTCTGCCTTCCTCTCTAATGCCTGTCTTGGTAATCTCCTATCCTCCTCCATCCTGTACACGTGTTCCTCCCATCACAAACCTCCCTTTCTTCATTACGTCTCTAATGCTCTGTTGCATTCTCTTCTGAACTTCTAATATTGTTTATACTCTATTCTCCCATGAGCTTCCTTACATCATCTCAATGCATCTTTATTCTGAGGCAAAGAAGTTTCTTGTTTTCTATTGTTTATCACCTTGATCTGTACGGTAACAGACATTGCTCTTGTCAGTCTTTGAAAACAAATGCTGACCTCTCTACGATGGAGCTTGAAAAGACTTCTTGCGAGGAAATAACAGCCTCTTACGGATACATCTTTGAACGGGCTCGGTGTACATGACTGCGGGTGATTCTGACATGGACGACAGCCACGAGGGGGAGACACTAACCTTGGCCAATTTGGCACATTCCTTTCTAAAGCTGTTTTTTTATGAATGGGAGCATTTCTCCAGAAGCCTTCAGCAAGTGGCGAAAGGGCTCATCCCAAAGTAGACTAGTTACAAAGGCCGCGGATGTTTTGGCCTGGAAGAGCTTTTTTCTGGGGCGTAATATTGTATTTGGCACAAAGAGTGAGAGGCGGCACATCCTCAGCTGGTCATTTTGCTTGCGGTTTCTGGAAGTTCCTGCACATCCAGGATTGAACTGTCCTCCCACTCGCGTGCCCATCACTCACCGACTGTTTGACTCCTTTGACTGTCTGCTGCTGAATTCATACGTCATGCCAAAGTGATACGCCTTTATAATATATAAAAAAAATACTGTTATTATCGAAGAGTAATGTTTACATGATCGATTTTCATTTGAGCATGTTGAATTCTTTTCAGATGCAAAGAGTCCGATTCCCCGCACGCAGTCACGGTGTACATGCTTGAACCCCACAGCTGTCAATACATACTCGGGGTGAGTCACAGGATGCTCTTGTTTTTTAGCGCATTTCATCTAAGTTTGAACGCATTAACACATTACGTACCAGCCGTCTATAATGGGTGGGGGAAACAATAACGGGTGAAGATGAGCCAGCATGAGCAAAACGTTGCAATAACGTCTTTGCTCTCATGGGTGAGGACTAGCGTCGTAGACAACTTGCCAAATTGATCAAAAGGTTGCCTAAAACTTAGAGACACAGACCAGAGAATTATATTCCGAGTATGTAGACACATTTTGCTCTAACAGCCACCGGCCTACACTCTGCTATTTCAATAATTGCGGAGACAAGTGGAAGTTGCAAAGCATCCGTTCGTACGCGTGATTTTTCCAAACTTGCTCATTTTAATTCCACAGTGTAAGATGTTCGTTTCTAAGTCATGCCTTTGTATATGCTTGCAACGTGCTCGACTACGCATCAGCCACAAGCATTGCGTGCACACAAGCACTTCAAGATATCGTTTAGCAATTCGGTTATTCGAGTAGTCCATTACTCGACTGATGATCACTTCAATTACACTGGTCAACACACTTTTTCTGGCATAAGGTATTCCAATGGTTTTAAGGTAATTTTTGGGTGCTTATTTCAAATCTGGCATCAGTTTTTGTCTATCACATCAGGTTTTTGAGATATCAAATATTGCATTTTCAATAAAAACTGCAGAAGAAAAAATATTAAATAAATGTGGATATCTACATAAAATTATATTATAAACACACTATCCTAAAAATACAGCACCATATTTTAACACTAAAGCAGTCACTGACTCGCAACAACTTACAATCATAAGTGACAGAGTTAATTTCGGGTACAATCAATGAAAATGGGGTATGCCGATAGCATAAAAATAGATGTGATAGAGAAAATCTGAGATCAGATTTGGAATCAGCACCCTGAAATTAGTCTAAAACAGCTGCAAAAGTCCAGGCCAGAAAAAAATGCTTTTTTTGTTGACCAGTGTTACCAGACTACTTTTTTAACACATGTCATCAGTCGCATCACACTGGGCGTGTCTTGTAAGGGGGTTTCCCTCCTTCGGTGGAGGCAAGATGTCGGGTCGAATACCAATTTTTAAAAAGGAGAGCGGGGTAATCGTCTGCAATCCAAATTTTGTTCATATTTACTTAATTATCTCATCGTCTCAGTTCGATTGCAAAGAAAATGCTGTGGTATGCACGATGCAGGAAGGACGTTAATGGTATTGTTCAGGGAGCCATCGCAGCAGCGTTTTAATCGATCAAAAGAATGCGGGTGGTGTGCGAGTGTTTACACGCGAGTCGTGGGCGACGCAGGTGCTTGGTTTCACCTGGCAGACGGCCACTGCAAACGCTCGTCCCGCACAGATGGCACAGGCAGTGAGTGGGCCAGCAGGCTAGCGCGTGCTGGAGTACGGGAGAGCGAGCACTTCCGCCCCTAAGCTCACGCTTTGCCGAGGACAGATTTGTGTTTTTGCGAGTCCGCGGCATCTGCTGTGGCTGATAGAGGCGGCTTAAGGGGAGCTGCGTGAATAACTGTTGATCGTTCAATTGGCAGTGGTGTATTTTTTAAAATCCATTTGCTCCGTGGGTTATGTAAAAAGCAGAGCCGTTTTGTTGCCGCTTATGTGTGTTTTCCACTCAAACCTCCCTGGTTAAAATTGGCTACTTGCTTTTCGGCTGACGTATGTGGAACCACAACATCTGCCAGAGGGGTGTAGTGTGATGATTCACAGCGTCGGTGTAAGAGCACATGATTTTCATAACTTGTAAGAATGTTAATCAAATGTGCATGTGAGGGCGAAGTCCAAATCAGTTGTGTAAACAGCGATATTATGTTTTTGGGAAAAATAAGAAATATTATACTTTTTTGTCGGGAAACATGTCGAATTCATTTGCGTGGATGGGTGGAGAAGTGGACAGGGCCATGGATTATCATTTGCTGATGTTATTTAAGGCTATTTGAAAGGTACTGTCTGCTTATTGGATCTCTGAACCTTTAAATAGCTCTTTATTACCTGCCTTCAGGGTGCTGCTGTGGTAAAATGGTTAGCACACTGGCCTTGGGTTCCACAGATTGCTGGTTTTATTCAATCTTCTGATGTGGCAGTTATAAGAATGTCCAAGTTTCTTAAATCCCCCGCCCCCCCCCCCCCCCCCCGGTTCTGTCCACACAGCAGAATAAATGGGTAAACAACAGTTAGGTCGATCAGCAAGGCACGTGTGGTGAGACGAGTATCGCCACATCTTCTAAAATGTTTAGCCAGCCTGGGAGGGTGCCCGATACCCTGTAGAGGGCTCTCTTGAGATCCATTTAGTGTCGGCCTTTCTGCCAGCAGTGGCATGTGCAAGCAACTGCGGGGATGCACCTTTAACCTGCCTCACAGGTTTGTGATGGCTTTTGTTTAAACCATTGTGGAAATGGTACCAAAAAGACTGTTGCTCAGGGGACAATAGTACAGTGGTTAAGGGACAACTTTGGATTAAGAGGCAACCGCAGATTTATGTTGAGATCGCTAATGGCCGATTGCGTTTTTGCTGGAGCTAACTAATGCTCTCAAGGCCACGGTGACTCCAATAAAATTGTGTCTTTTTTGCAAGGCTCCATATCCGTTTATTTCCTTAATAATTGATGATTCGCATCGATTGCTCCGTGCTTTTATTTTAATGGCCCGAAGGGTCAAGAGCGAGTGAATTGGAGAGTCACCAATATTAGCAGGTTGAAAATATTTCCCCTCTGTTCCCCGATTAGGGCAGCTAAGATGCTTCTAGTGATGGATAAATATCCGATTGGTAGATCTCAGGTGACTTCGACACCGCTCCAGCCGTCTACGTATCAGCCCGTGAATAAATATAAATGAAGAGTCTACTGTGAGATGTGCTCTGTGTGCGTGTTTATTTTTAGGGCAGCTTAAGTAGGTGGCTGCATGAATAGGCACTTTCAAATTCACGTAGACACTTGCTATGTTTTTTTCCGCCATCCTCTTTACCGTACAAAGATGGGGCTTGTTACCAATTAACCACTGGGAAAACGAATCTTCCTTGTCGTGTAAAGGGAATGACGAGTTAAACAGGCCTGCGCGTAAAGATCCAGCTTGGACTTTGTTTTTTGGGTCCGGGTCGAGGTAAGTTCCTTGCTCGGAGCTGATTGGCTCGTTTTTTTCGGGCTTGGGATTAGGTTTAGTGTTTGGTCGGGTTAGCGTTATTCTCAGGGATATCTTGTAATTGACTCGTGTCACTGAGGTTACGGGTAATGGTGGTGTTTGATTAGCTTGTGTGGTTAAGGTTATGGTTAGTAGAAGGTTTATGGTCTCATTGGCTAATATGGTTAGGGTTATGGGTAGGGTTGGTATCTGCTTTGGCAAGTTTGGTAGGAGTAGTGTTTGGTTAGCATTACTGTTAGTAGCAAGGCTAGATTGTGATTGGCCAGTGTGGTTAGGGTTATAATTAGTAGGAGTTGGATAGTTGCTCCACCTCCAACAATTTGCCCCTCTTCCATATTTCAACGGACTATGTAGTCATTAAAATTTTTTTGTCCAATTTTTACGATTAGTGTTTGCAGCATGCCCCGAGCAGCGCTGGGTTTGGCACGGAGTCCTCGCACGATCGTTCGGCCACTGTGCGTGCAAACTCGGCACCGAGCCGAACCCAACACTGGGCCATCCTTAGCGTGGCCTCCAGCCGGAGCAGCAGTTAAGACCCCTCGCTTGAGATTCCGCACGGCAACTTGAGCTGTGCCGGCTACGCGGGCTTTACGGGAAGCAATTCCTAAAATTGTAAGAACTTGGTCGACGCTATTTACGGAATGCAAATCCGGTATGAAAACAGGATCGGGCCAGTGCCCATTACAAAATCACCCTGATTGAATGTGTCCGATCACACACAAGCGAAGTAGTGTTGAGCCCGTTGAGTACACGAATAGCAGGCTGCCTGAGAATAGCAGGCGTTGGTCGGCTTAGGCTGCGAGGTGACCGGGACAAGACAATGCAGTGTTCTATTTTTGAATGCCTGTGTGGAGCTCTTAGTGTCACCCCCCCCCCCCCATCCCTAATCCGTGTAATTTTTCTCAATGCACTCTGATTTCATCCCAAATGGAAACCACTCACGAATTGAATTGGTCAAACATGGCAATGCAGGTCCCTCGTGAAAAAAAAGAGTTCTGAGGCTTTCTTAGATAAATAAAGGACATTTCTTTTTAGTAACACGCTGTATGAGAGTTGTTAAACATATTCATAATAATTTAGCGTGAACCAATAAACAATATGCTCCTTGTTGTGCCCCTGCAGGTGGAATCATCCCTGATGTGTCGCATTCTAGACTCGGCAGACGACGCTGGACAATTGTCACTTCCGCCGTGATCCGGTCGCCCCTGTCCCAGCGTCCGCACGGGAAGCTCACCCACGTTGCCGTGGCCACGTGACCCATCGTCGTCGTCGCCGCCGCCACCGCCACCTGACCATCGTTCCAAAGCAGGGGGAACCCCCTCTGCGAGATTCCCGTTTTAAACGCGTGCCATGTCCGATCCAGGCGGCAACGCGAATGGCTCTCGGTTCTGTTGAAACGGAGGATGAAGCAGTGCCTCATGAACTTTGATCTCTTCACGTGATGCTCTGTGATGCTGAATAATGTCGATATTGGTGTTTTTTTTCTTCTGAAGAGGTACCCAAGGAGATGCCACGCTGAACAAGACGTGCGGTAGCCGCGGGAATTTGAGCGGCGTTTCTCTCAGACCTGGGTTAGCGAGCGCTGTTATTTACTCAGATGAGTGTGTGCGAGCTATGTGTATATTGAGGAGCCGTACGCAGACGTCTGTAATTTTTGTTGTTGCTGGTGGGGTTTTTTTCTGCGTAAAATATTTTCTCTAATGGTCTGCGGAAGTGATGGAATGTTACCCATAATTAGAATGACCTTGTAATGAATATAGGTAAATTCTAATTTGTACTATAAATCATTTCTGCACAAAGTTATTTTTTTCTGGGAATAAACTATATGCAGCGATGCTTCATTGTCATTGTCTTAAAGCTTTGGATAGTTGAGAATTTATACGTAAACTAAGGATTTATTCACGCTAAGCCTTGCGAAGTCTGAACCTATGTTGTAATTAAGTTAAGCCAGGGATATATTTATATTCCGTTTGTGAGGGAGAACAGAGAATGAGAGACCATTGGGTTTTTTTCAGTGTCGAGATGAACGTCAACCATCCTTGTGTGGGTGACTTGCCCGTGTACAAAGTGTGAATGTTCCTGGTTCCTTTGCTGTGCCAAATATCTCGAGGCTCACGGTGCCTTTAGAAAACCTCTAGAGGGGTTCTATAGAGCTTCCCTCTAGTGGAGGGTATTTTGCGAGCAGTGGCTTCAGAAATACATTGCAGGGCTGCACTTTAACTGTTTATGTGCCCTTGGAATGTGCAGCGTATATTTGCAAAACATTGTTTTTCCCTTTTTGTGTTTTTGTTACATTTAATTTTTGCTGAGTTGCATGAACAACATCGTATTCATAATTCGCCATTCCAAACAAACCATAACAGGATAAAAAAAAACTGAAACTTGTGATGTTCTTTTGCAGAACATTGTGGGTGAAATAAAATGAAACAAGATAAAAGTCTCTTCACAGTGAGCATTCCAGCCAATATTTAGAGCTGCATTATCCAGTATTTTTTATGGCATAAATTACTCTATGGTTTAACGATACGATTCCTTGACAAATCGAATAACTCAATAATATTTTGGGGAAAAGATGTTTTTTTTACTTGTTCCGCTGGATGAGAGAATGAACGGGGCTTAATGTCACCTGGATCGTCAACCGAGCCATGCTGAGCCTGGCTTGTAAGAGGGTTTCCCACCTTCACGAGGAAAGTTGTTGGTAAGACCGCCATTTTTAAAATGACCTCGAGTGATCGACTCCAAAGTGGTCATTAATTACGATTTTTTGTTGAGTAATCCACCAAATTGACTCATCTTTCCAAGCTTTGCTCGTGTTTCGGCTACCCGGATTAGAATAAGGCGAGCAGGTTAAGGGCGCAGTCATTGAACGTATCCACGACGATGCATTGGCCTTCGTGCGTTCCAGGTGAATGTTTCCTGAGCATCCTCGGGTGAGTTAAGGGTCTCGTCGGCAAGGTGTGAATGATCAAATCAATGGATGGAGGGTGCGGAGGCTGGTCGGAGAGTTAAATTATGGGACCTCGTTGGCTTGAGTGGCAGGTTTAGCGCTTGTGCTTTGTGTACAAGAGGAATTACAGAGAAGCTTGGTCTCGAATGAAATACTGGCACTTGACTACTTTGGGAAATTGGACGAACCCTTTGCATCATTTTTACTCTCGACTCAAATTCACACGATGGGTTACTACTGGAGCTGTGGTGATTTTCGCCATGGTGTTTCGAATAGTTGTGCTGTTCAGGGCTGTGATTAGACTGTAATTGATAAATTACTTTTGTTTCGTCACCATCTCTTTAGTATTGTTTCTCTTATGTCTGGTTTGTACAATTCCCATTAGTCTAAACATAATTTGCTTCTTGATTTGAAGCTTTCGTGACTGCAATAATCCATACTCTTTGGTTCTTTCGGTAAAGTCACGTAGATAGAAAAAATAATAGATCACGACGTTTCGATCGCAACGCAAGCAATCGTCGTCATCCGCCTGATCGTCATCATCCGCTGATGACGGTTGCTTGGGGTGCGATGAAAACGTCGTGATCTTATTTTTTCTACCTACGTGACTTTACCGAAAGAACCAAAGAGTATGCATAATTTGCTTGTAATCTACTTAAATCGATAGGGCATAAATTCTTACGTGATCTGATGCATGTGTTGTAGCTTTAGAGAATTTATATTACTGCAATTAGCAAACTGATGCATCTTTGCATGTCTATGTCTTGCGCCAAATGTTTAATATTAACAAAAAGGATGTAAGTGAATGCGTGCACCGTCGATATAAAATGGACAATTAATTCACAGCCTTTTGCCAATCCACTGCTGGATATAGGCCTCCTCCCCGTGTCACACTGGGGGGAGGGGGGGGGCTGTTTGACCATACTTCAAACCCACTGGGTGAGTGCGGGTTGGTGAGTGAGGGGGCCCAGGAGCAGTTTGGACATCACTCGCCACTGATGGTCGCCGTGGCCTGAAACAAAACTCGGATGGCCCGGTGCGTAGTTCGATGTACTCACCACTGTGCCACCGCTCCACACAAAAAAATACCTCGGACGTTGAAAAATGTAAAAAAAGCCTCCTTAGTTTAATGGACACGGCTGTGTTTGGGTGGAGGCTGGAGTTGTTGCCGCACAGGAAAGGACCTTAGGCCCCCTCCCCCCCCATTCACGGCCTCCACTGGGAGTCTGGGTTAGGGACCCTTGGCAGAGGTGAAAAGGTCAGAGGTGTTTCCACTAAAAGCGGCTGCCTCTGTCTGCCATCAGCTTGCTCTCTCGCTGGGCAACGCAGCCTTGAGGATGGTGTCGATTTAAATGTGGCTGCGATGGGCTGAAGTCTCTGCAAATAGAAGCTTAGGGTTCGTATGTACGTGCATAGCCCCTTGTGTCAATCCACTGATGGATGAGGGGCGCTGCGCACCGTGCAGGCTGTGTGGGGGCGGGATTAGTTGATCATACTTCACCACACTGGTCAATGAGGGTTGGTGAAGATGGGGAGCATGCACGTTGCAGCATTAAACAGTCCAACGTTGTATTCCCCTGCGCTGCCCTTCACGAACAACGCCAGTTCGCAGCCGCTTGTAACAAACCTGATCGCCCACGCAAGCACGATTGGCTCTCGGAGGGTAAAATAAAAGCTTGGATGGTGACGATGTGACGATGTCTGTTTGGAGGAATTCAGATCGGCGTACAAGGGCGCCAGGAGAGTCGTTGGTGAATTTCAGGGATGTTAATCTTGGTTCTGTCGGTAAAGTCACGTAGAAGGGAAATAATAAAGTAATAAAAATAAAACAATAAAATTCTCACGACGTTTCGATTGCAACACATCATCATGACTGCCCTTCGCGAGCAACGTATGATGATGATGTGTTACAATCGAAACGTCGTGAGAATGTATTGTTTTATTTTTATTACTTAATATTTCCCTTCTACGTGACTTTACCGAAAGAACCAAGAAGATGAATCCCTGCAGTCACGAAAGCTTTACATCGAATTTCAGGGATGTTGCTGGGGAACGAGCATCATGTCGTGGGCATTTACTCTTCGGTTCTTTCAGTAAAGTCACGGAGAAAGAAATTAAATTAATTAATAATCGAATACCACGTTTCGATTGCAACACAAACAACCATTATCAGGTACAAATAAATGAGAAAAAACACACATAGTAAACTTGGAAATAAATACTGATACAGCACAGTCGGCCAACACAACAGTCAACACGCCACCTGGTTGTTTACGTTCTTCCAAAGATTGCTAAATTTGAGAGAGAGAGACAAAACACAGACACGGAGACACACAAGCAGAGAGAGAGACACACACATAGGCACACAGTAATTTAGTTGGTGGGTAGTTGTTTGGCCGCTTGAAAGCGCTCACCGCGTCTCTGTGCACAAGGGTGTCCGTAGCGTCCGTGCAATCGTGGGGTTTTTTTTGGCATTTTCATCAAGGGGCATAAACCTGTCGGGCGAACTCAGTTCATCCTCGCAGCAGCGGATTTTTGTTCGAGCCGTCGAACAAAGGCGGTCACCGCATCGCGTGGCGCTTTCAGATGCTCGTCTGCTGCCCTCTGGAACGCTCTTCCATCCCATAAGCCACTGGGGCTATGCACTTTTAAATCGAGATCGAAAACTCATTTTTCTCGAGAATCCATTTTTGCCGAATTCGTTTTTTTTTGTCCTTCCCCCGCACGGTTGGCTCCGTACGGTGCGAAAGAAGTTCAACATACAATAAGATGATGGTAATTGTGATGTTCTGATGCCGGGTGGTTCATGACCGTCATCCAACGTCACCCAGAGTGTCCATTCATTTCACGGAATCTACTGCTCCACTCGCATCGTCCCATCGCTCTCTCGGTAAATGGAAACGTCAAGTTGGATAGAAAGCTGTTTTGTTTACTGGAGTGTTTTTGAATGGAAAGGCCTGACATTTTAAAAGGAGGGGTTGGGGCGGAGGGAAACACGCATCTATTTCCATGTATTTTGTTACTTTTAATAACCCGGGGTCCCCTATTAAAACGGCACATGGCCATGACGACTGTTTACACAAAATACCGCGGCCCGAAACTCGCCGAGGATACGATTTACAGGCCGGTCCATTGCTGCGCTCAAACTCTCCAGCCCAAGCTAATTGCAGTCAATTTGCTTCTGCACAAGCACAACGAGCCTCCTTCACAGTTGCATCTCGCTCACTCCCACCGAGGGAGGGGGGGGGGGGTCGGGTAGTAAAATAAAATAAAAAGCAAATTCAACTCGATTTGCAGCGCACCTTTGTTGCGCGCCCCCACTTGAAACAAGGAGCTCGATTGTTTTTTTGGTTGGAGAATTGCGAAGACCGTGGGCGAGTCGAGGGGGGGGGGCTGCCACAGTTGTGCCCCCCCCCCAATACCCCACCACTCTCCCCCCGTTATTCACCACCAGCTCGGTCCCTTTGAAGAAGGGGGGTGCCGCGTGTGCGCCAGTCCAGCCCGAGCCGCCGGGGTATAACGAGGGACATTGTCGGGGGGTCCCCACCCCCCCTCACCCCACCCCACTTAGGGCCTAAATGTCTCTCCCCTGACGCAACGGAACACCTTCTTGCATAATGGTGCTCATTGAGAAAGTGCACGGCCAAGGGGCAGCGTGGCCGCCCACGCGGGTAGCAATGAGCCGAGCGAGCGGGTTTTGGGGCTCTTCCCTGGCAGCGGCTGAATTTTAAACATAAAAAATATTTCTCGTGGAGATTTCGCTTTAACAGCGACGAGAGTTTCCTCGACGCTGGGTGGGAAGGGCGGAGGGTTGGGGCGCTCTTGAAGGAGAAAGTCGCCTCGCACCAGAGGTCGCAACCGGGTACCCGATACCCGTACCCTACCCGATACCCGGCTACCCATACCCGGCCGGGTATTGGGGGGTACCCAATGGTGAGTAACCATTTGTCACTCATTTCCCAACGTCTTGTCTCTTTTCACAATTCAAATTCCTAGAATCAACCCACCCGCGCCTGCAACATGTCTTCATCCCAGAGGTCGCAATCGGGTACCCGATACCCGGCTACCCATACCCGGCCGGGTACCCGTTTGCGACCCTGGTGCGGCCGGGTACGGGTACGGGTAGGGAATCAAACCCGTTTGCGACCTCTGTCTCGCCCAAACAACAAAAACTCGCCAGCCCAGGTGTCGTTCTGGCGGAGCGTCTAAAGTCACCGGTGATGCCACCGCACGCCAACTGGCCCAAGCGTTTACACGGAGCGAATGGACTCGAGATGTTTTTGTTTACTTCAAGCTGCGAAGGCTTCCCCCCCGCCCCCACAGCCGATTGAGCCAAGGACGACCACGTCAAACCTAGACCATCGGCAGTGGCGGCGAGTTAGAGGTCATTTTCATGGAGGGAATGTGCACACGAAGAATTAACAAAAACAGATATTATTTACGCGAAACCCACGCCAAAAAACGTGCTGTTGAAAACAGGATAAAGAATAAATGAGTGCTGACACTGATAGAGAATGGTGTGTGCCTCCCCGGGGTCGTGTGGCTTCACTCCTGACACAGAAGTGAACCGATACAGGACTCTGAGTGCAGACCTGCATGGGATCACTCCCAAATGTTGTCCGGAGTGAAAGTCGCTAAATGGGTCGTTTGTGACTTGGACAAAAATAAATTCCCGCTGGGAAAATTAAAAAAAGTCGCAAGATTTCGCGTCATAAAAGGTCAGTTGACAACGGTAGTTCGAAGCGATGGAAGAAAAAAAACTCCAAAAGTTGAGAAAATTACGGATATTGTAAGCTTGGGCTGTGAGGTCGCAATGAGTTTGGCAGCACAGCAGTGGAGTCTTGAATGTGTGCGTGACTTTGCGCACCACTTCATCGCATGCGTGGCTTAGCTCTGGACTCTCTGAGTAATTGCAAACGCTCCTTTGTCGAGCTGGCCAATAATCCCAATGCACAAACCGTAAAGACATCCCGAGCAAAAGGGTTTCATTAGGAATCGTGCAGTATTATTGTTGTGCTGTTTAGTCATTGTGGCAATAGTAATATTATTGGAATAGGAGTATTATAAGTAGCAGTAGTAATATTCGTGATTTGAAGCTTTCGTGATTGCAGGAATCCATACTCTTTGGTTCTTTCGGTAAAGTCACGTGGGTAGAAAAAAGTCACCTACGTGACTTTACCGAAATAACCAAAGAGTATAGTAATATTAGTGTGAATGTAGTAGTAGTGTAAAGTAGTAGTATTATTGTAGTAGTATTGTTAGTAGTAGTAATAACATTATTCTAGTAGTATTGAAAGTAAGACTATTATTGTCAGTAATATTCAGTTTAACACTGTAGTAAGCTTTCGCGGTACCAATATCATCCATAATAGAGGTTTTTGGGTTAGATCGCGTAAATATATAAATGTGTCTTTTAAACCCGCCACCACACGGCACAGCCAACTAGTAAGGGTTGTCACGTAAACAGAACATGCCAACAACACATCTACGCCTCTACATAAGGAACGAAACAGTAAGACTTATCCATAAATCTGGCTGTCGCCTGATGAAGCTAGTTGTAATTACTGGCGAAACGTTGTACTCAGTTTATAAATGTAGTGGCTTGGCTCTCCAACACACCGGTGTGCTGTACTAGTGACGAATTGGCACGTTCTGTTTACGTGACAACCCTGACTAGTTGGCTGTGTCGGGTGGTGGCGGGTTTTAACGACACATTTATATATTTACGCGAACTAACCCCCAAAAAAACCTATATTATGGATGTCGTAATATTATTGTAATAGTAGTATTTGAACGGAGTATTATTATCGTAGTATTGTAAGTAGTGGTATTTTATGAGTTTTCAAAGACCAAATAAACAAATATGTTTCCACAGCTGGGATCAAGATAATGTATATCTAATAGCAAGGTCAGTCTAATGATGGAGAGTGGCATGGTTCTTCAATGCCCGTCATTATCATTATCGTCGTAAAGTCTGGAATTCGTCACTGCACTTCCCTTTAAAATGACAAATTCTGAGAAAGCAATTATTTATTTATTGTACTATGCGTTTCAATACCACTTAGCCGAAGGAAGTATTTCATATGGCCGTTCGCTTTCACCGCCACTTTGGTGTATGAATATTTGAGCGCCGATCCGTTTCGCCTTGATTTATGCCTGCCAAGATAGCGGCTCATGAGACGCGCTGGAAATTCCTGAAATGTCTCAGCAGGCGGAGCTGTTGTGTCGACGTGACGCTGCGTCGTGTTGAGTCCTCGGAGTTACCCTGCGGGTGGGATTCTCCACGGCATTGGGGGGGGAGGGCAGGTTACATTTTCAGACATCGGTCCTCGCTGATATTGGCCGGGAATTGAACTCGGGTTGCCAGGTTCGTAGCGCAAAGCGATTGCCACAGGCGCCCCACACCACAATTAAATATGGCAACGTGCCGCCATCATTTCTACCGTAAACATGGCATTTTGTTTATTTACTCTAGAGATAAAATAAACACTCCGCGCTCTCTATTTATCCCAGGGCATGAACGTAAAAAAATAACACTATCGCCTTTTATTTACCCGGTAAATAAAAATATAAATACAATGCTCTTTGTGCACACGGGGAATCCAAAAAATATATACTCATAGAAATCTCATGCCCCTATTTGTAACCCAGCAAATAAAAGGGCATTCGACTCTCATTACAAAAAAACATTTCCGTCGCTTAATAGACAGGCGCATCTCCCTCTTCTTCACCGGCTACTTTCTAAGCCCGTGATAACATTTCTACACAATTCTCTTTGTGTGCGATCCAGCCACTCCTCACCCACCCACCCACCAATGTTCTTTTTTGTGTGTAGAGCAAAAACGATCACAGCGCCTTGAAGGGCAACGCTCGTCACACGTGTGAAATACGAATAGTCCCTCGCAGGGAAAAGACGTTGAGCCGAAAATACACGACCGCCTGGCGCCGTCGTGGGTGATGTTACCGCCAGACATTTCGTCTTTCGATCTCGAGCCTCCGTCCCCGGCGAGCATGGATGTGCCGTCGTGCTGCAAAGCGGTTGTCCCGCAAACGCCGGAACGCTGTTACCTAACGTCCCACGTGCCAACGTTAGCCCAATGTTGCACGCGAACTGGGGTAGCAGCAGGGGATTAACACAGCGCTGGAAGTCATTTGTTTTTTTATTAAATAATTATCCATTTTTAGAAACTGTTGGAAATACCACAGCCTCAAAATGCGTATTCACCACAGCTCAGCGTCTGTGCCAGTGGTGCATATTCCATATTCCTATGCTGAGGACGAGTGCATCCAAAGGGAAATCACATTGGCCATTCCGTAAAGCGGCTCTGATTTTAAAATAGAGCCCTGGAGGAATGGAGACACCGGGCCCCGTGGTATAATGCTAAGCGCGTTAGGATTTGCAATCCACAATGCGAGGGTTTGTTCTCCACCCGGCAGTATACATGAGCACACCAGAGATTGTGTCAACCGGCAGATCACATGAGGTGGGGAAAAGCGTGAGCACTCCCACCTCGTCTTCCAAGAAGTCTGGCCAGCCTGAAGGACTCGGCCCAAATATCATCTAGAAGGGCTCTAGAGGAGAGCTCTCTCTCTCTCGTGGATGCCCTTGCACCAGCAGTGGCGTTCTCGGCGCAATTGCCGGTGCTGTGCCTTTGTTTTTACCCCGCCTCGGATTGGTCGACTCCCCCCTCCTCTATTCTCCGGGCTCCTCACGCAGCAGCCGATTGGTTGCGCTTCGTGCGCGAGTTGTGGGGAGGGGGGGGGGCGCTCAGAGCTTGCGCTATAAAGCCCCGGGGGCGCTGGGTATGTGGGGGCAGTTATCTAGCGGTGGCCAAGCAGACGCCTCGCCCCGTGGTTCCTTGTGTCTCTGCATCTGCGAGCGCTGCTACATTCACTGCGGGTGCAGGAGTGGGGGGGTGGCAGTGGGAGAGAGAGTGTGGAGAGGGGAGGGGGTCCATACATCACTGTGGGTGCAAGAGCGGGAGAGGAAGAGAGAGTGAGAGCGTGTGGATTATTTATTTATTTGTAACAGCAGCCACAAGCGTGTGGGTCTCTCTCTCTGCTCCAGACGTCGCGTTCCGCAGAAGACTGCAACACGTTCCGGCTTGACAGCTCCGTGCTTTGTCAGATGTGGAGAGTCTACCCTCCTCCTCCCCCCCATAACCTCCTTGTCTCTGGGTTCTGGCTCAGCATCTGAGTAGTGGAGAGCTCTTCTGGCTTTCTTCTCCTTTACAAAGAAGGTGTTGGTTTGGAGCTCCGTGTCAATTGAATCGCATCGATATTCTATATCCATTGAGAAGTGAGGAACGCCAAACAAGTGGGCAATTGCCCGGGGAGACAGATCTTTCGTCCCAACAGTGCCTTGGTGAGTAAGACTCCTCCAGTATTTTGTACAATTTGCGTGCCTCCCGCCTTGTGTGTGTGTCTCTGTGTGTGTGCTATATTGCAGTGGACGATTGCATTCGTTTTTCGTGGTTGTGGCGCGCGCTCTCCGATGTATTTTTCGGGGTGGTGACTCGTGTTGTTCGACACGATGTCCGACGTTTCGCTCCACGTGCTGGGAGCTTCTTTGGGAACTGAATATATCCCACTGTCGATATATTCATTGTCAAGGTTTTATTTTGGCATAGGCTAAACCCCATTGGGCAATTAAAGTTCATTTTCGATAGCGACCTCGTTATAGAAACCTGGTTTACAGCGACAAAAACCCCCACCAACAATTCTTACATTTCGTAGGAAATCTTAGCTCTGTCCGAGGCTTTCCGATTGCGAGGGGTCTGAGAAGGGGTTAGGAGGTGAGAGGGTGAGAGGGTGGTGTGAGGGTGACAGCGAGTGGGTGAGATGATGAGATGATAAGAGGGGTGAGATGGTGGGAGGTGTTCGAGGGTGAGAGTGTTCAGGGGTGAGAGGGTGAGAGTCATCTTGTGAGAGGGTGGGACGACGAGGGAGTGAGAGTGCGTGACGGTGAGGGTGCATGGGTGGCGAGAGAGGACGCGAAGCTGAGCCGGCGAGAGAAGCGGTGAGGATGGGTGAGAGAAGCGATGTTTAAGAGGGAGAGGGCGAGATTGGGTGAGAGTGTCAGAGGAGAGAGTTCGAGAGGAGAGAACGCGGGGGTGGGGGGAAGGGGGAGTGCTGATTGCGAGCACAGTGGGAGGGCTCCCCACGGGACCGACGCCTTCTGCCGCAGCCACGCGCCGGCAGATGCGGCGACGCGCGTGCGAGCGAGCGTGGTGCACACGCGGTTGGGATGCCGTTTGTGAGAATGGCATTGTGAGTGTGAGAGGGTGTGTAGGGTGAGAGGGTTTGGTGGGGGGAGAGGGTGAGGAGGTGTGAGAGGAGAGAGGAAGGTGAGGTGTGAGTAGCGTTTAAGGGTGAGAGTTTAGAGGGTCAGAGAGTGAGAAGAGAGAGGGTGAGGAGGGTTAGAGGTGCAGAGGGTGAGCCCTCAAAATGTAGTCAGTTGAGATCTTCTGCACAAAACACACATATCACTTGTATTAAACAGTTCTTCTCTCTTGCTATGGATCGGGTGATATTTGATATGGAACGTTGCCCCATAAAGTCAGGCGTTCACGTCTGTTTTTATTTTATTTTCCGGAACTGAAAATATATCTGCGCTACACGCCTTAACCCCGGTTTTCCAGTTCCCACCACAATATATCATGGGAGAAGAGAGAACCCTTCCCGTTAAGGGCATTTCTCGCGGAGCCCAGGGGTGGCAGATTACGAGTGGCATGACCCTCTCAAGCCAAGCTGTGTTTTTCTTGGTAATGAGCCAGGCATGTGCGGGAGCCCTCCTGGCACATTGTGTATACCTCCTCGCCTGTTCGCAAGAGCTGGCCATCAGTCGAAGGGCACCGCTGCGAAATTAATATAAATCAGTCGCAACGTGTAACTCGCTGTGCAGTATTCGCTCGCTCTTGAAGAGAGAGAGAGATTTAGAGAACAACTTGGAGGCGCGTGGAACCAAACCACAGCACATTTGTGTAAAACCATGAAAAGAAGATGAACAGAAGTCAGTTATCCATAATGCAAGTTTTTTTTGGGGTTATATCGCGTAAATATATAAATGTGTCGTTAAGCCCGCCACCACCCGACACAACCAACTAGTAAGGTTTGTTACGTAAACAGTCGTTGAAATTAGTTGTAATTGGTTGTGATTACAACTTAGTTGTAATTAGTCATTACAACTAGTTGAAGGAGAACTAGTTGTATTTACTGGCGAAACGTCACACTCAGATTGTAAATGTTGTGGCTTGGCGCTCCAACACACCGGTTAGTGCTGTACTAGTGACGAATTGGTCACGTTCTGTTTACTGACAAACCTTACTAATTGGCTGTGTCGGGTGGTGGCGGGTTTAACGACACATTTATATATTTACGCGATGTAACCCAAACACCTCTATTATGGATGATATTGGTCGAGAAAGCCTGCTACGTGTTAAACAGAAATCAGTTACAACACAATTATTAATCGTACGAAACGTACCTTGCTCTCGGAAGCGAAGTGATGCAGAGTTGTTCCGGAATGGTGCTTGGATAGAGGACCAGCGCTCATAAATCACATCAGGTCATGGGAACATGTGATGTTGGCGAGCCACTGCTACAGGGCACGCAGATCACTCTCGTTGGCTTATGACCTACGATGTGGGCAGCAGAGGGCAGTGAAGCAAAATCTGCGTATCGTTGTACGGTACTGCTATGCTGCCACCAAATCGGCACTCAGCAGCGTAGTGAAGTACGCTCAGATAGCACGTGTGCGGGTTTAGTTTGTTGCGGATTGTGCTGGTGCCCAGAGGGAGACGCTCATCCAGCAGTGGACTGACAACGTCCCGTACAAAAAGGATTTTGGTTAATTCAGTAAGAAGTGTGGATTTAATCCTCTTTTTCTGCTCAAAGCCGACGGGCGCACACTGGCCACGCTGGGATGATTTTGATCCCAAAGGGGAGAGAGAGAGAGATACAAAAAAACAAGAGATCACGCTTCTGGCACAGCTGCTCTGGCTCGCTGTATCTTCATCGCCCATTGTTGGACGCGAGCTCTTCATCATCCACGTTTTGAGCTTTTGGATCACGGCGCGTGCCGCCTGAAACGTCGTCCAAAGTGCGGCGGCGGTACAACAACAACAAAGAAGGCTCGCTCGCTCGATAATGGATGGGCCCCGAGCACACAATGGGGACGACGTACGTACGTTGAACTTCTTTCGCACCGTACGAGGCCAACCGTGCACACGGAAGGTGCGCGGGAAGGACAACAAACTAAACGCGACAACAACAAAAAATAACCTATTCTAGAGAAGTGAGTTTTCAATCCAGATTGTTATTTCAACTGCTGGGTGTGAGGGCCTTCAGTCACCTCGAGTGGCCGGCGATGGATATTTGACCGTGGATATTTGACCGCATTGGCCAGTGTGGGGTCGGTGAAGATCGTGGGGAGGTGCGGTTAGAGTACAAAACAACCGAACCATCAGGTTTTTTGTTTTCCTTCTGCACTGCCCTCTGCTGCCCACCACATAGAGCCCCCATGCCTCCGCGAAGCTCTGTCGCTACCTGTTTGTGCCGGCCTGGTGGGGCACATCCAAGGCGACCAGCAGGCACAAGAGGCTTCGCCAACCCGGCCTTTTTGCTACCCGACGAAATTCGGGCGCATTCCAGCTGATTTGGTCCAAGGGGCTGGGATGACATCAAAATTAAATAATTAATTGGGTTTTTGTGTTTGTCTGTGTGTTTTTACGCGCCCCTTGTTTTATTTTCTTTCTTTCGGCCATCGCCTATCGTGACGGGGATATGCCAGTGTGTCCTTGGTGACGATTTTCCGAGCGCCAGAATGAAGCTGGGACGCATTCTGCCGGTCCGGGCCAGATGGAAAGCATAGATGCGTATAAAAGGCAGAACGAGGGAGAGCGGATGGGGGGGTTGGGGGAATACATAAAATAAAAAATATCCCTCCTGGCAATACTTCTGCCATTGCCTCAACACGCATTAAGTTGAGATGTTCCACAGCCCGAGTGTGCACCTATATCTAAATAAATAGCCACACATCTGTCGCTGTTAGCGTCTCGGGGCGCGCTAATACTAACAGACGTGCATTTCAATTATTTATGAGAACACAGTATGCGGCCGCGTGCCTCGCGGAGTGGCTGAGTGAGTGTGCCGGCTCTGGTCGTTGTGTTTTGCCGCATTACGCTCTTTCTCTCGAGGTCCACAGAGAGGAGGGGAAATCTGCGGTGTTAATTGTTTTTAATTTATGCAAGACTAGCTTTACTACCCGGCTTCGCCCGGGACTTGGATTCTCCCCAATGGCGATGTTCACACACCAGTTATTCGTTTGAGGCTGAGTCGACCTAGGGGAGGCCCAGGACCGGTTCAAATAATCGTAACCGGTGGTGGCCGTGAGCGGGAATCGAACTCGGGTCGCCGGGTTCGCAGCGCAGCGCGCGAATCGATACGCAGTCTCACAGGCTACACGGGGGATCTTTGTCTTTATCCTGTGTGTGGGGGGGGGGGCAGCGACTGCGTAGCGATTCGCGCGAGTTCGATTCCCGCTCACGGCCACCACCGGTGACGATTATTTGAACCGGTCCTGGGCCTCCCCTAGGTCGACTCAGCCTCAAACGAGTAACTGGTGTGGTGTGTGAACATCGCCACTGGGGAGACAAAGGCGGCCAGGCGTGGTGAATCTAAGTCCCGGGCGAAGCCGGGTAGTAAAGCTAGTTTGAAATAAAATATAAAACCCCCAGGAATTAACTAACATCTAAATAACCGGAAGCTCAAAATAGGACGAACGCGCTTTTTTGATCGCGAGGTCCACGTAACAAAAAAAACCCCTCCAATGTTGAATCTTTTAAGCCTTAAGCGCTGTAATCGTGTGCATGAATGAGCTGTCTCACCGCTGCCCTTTCATTGTGTGGAGTGCTCCTATTGGCTTATACTTTCATATTTAGTTGAAACATCTGTGAGAGAGTGCTCGGTGTGGACTCATTCCCGTCGGTTTGTTGGCACGCAACGGGGAATGTGGCCTGCCAGCAGTTAAGTCGGTGTGTCAAAGGGACCGAGAATTGAATTGGTCCATGCGAGCACAATATTCACTTCTTCTTTGTTTTGGTCTCTGTGCGATGGAAACCACGGCGTCCGATTACTTCGACCCAATGTATGTGCAGCACGTTGAACTTCTTTCGCACCGTACGTAGTCAACCGTGCTAATCGGAGATGCGCTGGGAAGGACAACAAACTAAGCATAAAACGCAGTTATTTTGTTATTTTTCTTTCCCCCCCCAAAAAGGGTCAGAGTGCAAGTGTGATTATAAATCAGCCAAAATCCCAAACCGCGGCCTGAAATCAGCACACGACATTAAAATCAATATCGTT